TTTTTGTCTTTGATAAAAAATTACTAGAATTTGATGGTTTTTTTGTTGCTGATGATTCACTCGTAGGAATAGATTCAGTGTATTGATGTGTAGCGGAGCTTGGTCGGCCAGTGGTTTTTTCTGAAATATAGTATTTTTTCTCTACGATATTAACTTCATTAAATAATATTAAGAAACATACTAGAACATTCTTCTGGTTTAACACAATCACCATTATTATCAAGTACATAACCTTCTTTACAATAACATCCTTCATTACATGAATCATTATAACATTTTTTCATTGAGGTACTATCGAGATCATTGCAAGTTTTTCGGCATATTGTTCCACATGATTTATATTCTTCATTTTCATCACATGTCAAAGCTTAATTAAAGAAAAAAAAAAAAAGAAAAATTGCTTTATTCAAACGAGTTTTTAGCATACAGCAAAAATCATCATTTCGCCAAGATGTAATTGGATGTCCTTCTTTGCGACAAAGTTCTGATAAAGAAGCAAACCATGAACAAATATGAGCACAATTATGAGCATCAATTTTACAGCTATAGATAATAAATAATAATACTGATAAATCTTATGATTAATCACTTAACAAACCTGTGTGTTTCTTCTATACATTGTTGATATAAAGTTTTTCGTCGTTCGTTATTTAATTTACTTAGACAGGAAGAAAATGGATTTTTCGCTGATGAACTGTCATCAAATACAGCAACACATTTTTCATGTGCCCATTTCGATTTTTCTTCATTATCATCTGTTGGTTTACTTTCTTCAACTTTACATTCACTATCAATCTTCCAACTATCTGCATGTTTTGGCTTTTGAATGACATAGTCTTTACTAAATTCACAAGAAAAAAACAATTTTTATTTTTATTATTATATTATACTATATATAAATATATATTTATTACTTTGAAGAGCCATGTTCACTGCAGACACCATCTAATTTTCCTTTCCATTTCTTATCCACAGTTAAATAAATTCGGTTACCTATATAGAATAGTTAGAACGAAGCTTAAAATCTATTGTATTTCCTACCCATATCCCATCTAAGAATAAAATGAGTTCCATTAATTACAACAAATAATCCAGCTTTGTGAATTGTAAATGATGAATAATGTGCAGGTGATGATGTTAATGTGGTGAGAGCTTTATCATTGACATAGATTGATTTATCCGATTCAAATGAAATATTTATTCCTAAATAAAAAAATTATATTTATAAGAAATATTAAAAAATAGTCTAAATAATATACCATCAATAGTCATACGGCCTTGTAATGAATGTTCATTTTTCGATTCACTATTACTTAATATAAGGGTAAATTTGTCCTTATGATTTTTCAATTGAGCTGCAATATATTCACATGAACCACTATTAAGTTTTAAATGTTGTCCATGAAATGTTGTGTAATGTTTATTTTTTAAAATACTGCATGTATGTGAACAATCTAGTTTACTGCATGACCATTGTCCTGATGTACATGTACTGGAAAAAATAACTTAAGAAATAAGAAAATTATTTTCATTTTATAAAATTACAAACCATTCGTTACAATCTTGAGTTACTTTTGCACCATACGAAAATAGTTTATCATTCATTTTACATGAACAATGTTTTGGATATACACAACGATTTGTCTATAAATAAAAATAAAGTTAATATTTATATTATATTAATAAAACGACGTACATTTTCATCACGAATCATATCTTTTGGACAATCACATCCGCTTCGATATTTATGACAATTTTGCCATTCTAAATGATTCGAACATGTTTTTGGACATGCTGTCAAGCTTGTTTCAGTAAAGATTAAATTATTTGGACAAACAATATTCGATTTGTCACATTTATCACTATTACAATGGAATTGACCACGTATACAAATACTACAAGAAAAATAGGAGATAATAATATTTATGAATAAGATATAGATTTTATCTACCAAGTTGAACAGTGACCACGTTTTATAATTGTACCAGATTTATGATATGATTTTTCTCGCTCATCAAAACATGAACATTCTGCTCCTTTGACACATTTTAATGGTTCATGTGTACTATGATGTGTATCATAATAATGATGTTTTTCACAAACACAACCTTGTGAAAAAGAAGAAAAAAACAAGTATAATCTCACATAAATTGTTTATATTGAATCTTACCGGCAATACATTCTTTTTTGCAAGTAGAGTGTGATCCATGTTTGTCTGCTTTATCGGAACACGAATTTAAACATGAATGAGGACATTCTTCATAGACAGTTCCAGCACCACATTGGGTAAAAACTGCTTCACATTCACCTCGCCATTTAGTATTTTTTTGTGGATGATCATTACAAGCCAACGCACATGCATGTGCAAATATGGAATGCCAATAACAAGAAGCACGATTATGCTTATGAATTGGTGTATGACGTTGATCTTCGACACAAGATAAAATAAGTCCATGAACATGTGCACCAGATTTACAAACATTATTTTTGATTCGATGACATTGTTTTTCCTAAAGAATTTATAGAATAATTCTTTAAAGAAAACCTTAAATAATATACATACAGCTTCTGATCGATCAAAATTTTCAGGTACATCGTCTTCTGTACTAGTATTTGGTTTAGTATCATTAACTTGATAACCTTCACTAAAAATATGTGCATTACATGTTAATTTACCATTTGGTAAACGTAAATCATTATCTTGATTGTAATCAAATGATCCACAGAGACCACGTACATGTTCTCGATGGGCAGATTCTAATGTAACATAAACACTATGTCCATCATAGGCAATATGCATATCTTTCGATTCAATTAAAATAAAATGTGATGTAGCTTGACGTATAGTAAGATCAGCAGATTGAAATGGAAGTTGTTCAAGTTTATTATTATTTAATATAATTGAATGTATATCTGATAAAACAACAGTGTTAACACCAATGGTAAATTTTAATTGACGTTTAAAATTCTTTTTTACTGCTGCTTCAATTTGGAAATGTGTACTTTTTTTGCCAATATTCTAAATATTAAATTATATAATTAATTAAAAGTAAAATTTAAAATGTTATGCAATCTAGTTAAATCCATTAACACACTTAGAAACACATTAGGATACAAATTAATTTGGTGTCAGCTGCTCCTCTTTTTTTTCAAAGTTATTTTTCTCGATAAATTGTATTAAGAAACAGCTGTTTCAATATGTAATTAGTTTTTCAATAACAAGAAATTGATTTTTTTTATATGCGTAGGATAATGGATATTTCAATGAAAGGGAAAAACGATTCATATCACTAATGAGTACTTCTTCGTACTCTTCTACTAGAAAAATCTCGTGAAACGTTGAATTATTTCGTCATTTTTTAACTTAATAAGCAGCAAATTAGTTAGAGAATTAAATACAGTAGTAATTTAGCTATCATACTCAATCTACAGCAAGTCTATAGGATTCAATGATACTGTTAACAGTTTAGTTTTTATTTCAATACGTAAGAAGTTCGCTAAAACTTATATAATGGTTTCAAAAAATCTCATATGACCGTTATTTTCAATTACAATATCAAAGATTATACCATAGATATCACTATATTCACTTATTTAGTCATGAAGAACTTGAAAATTATTTTTATTCTAGTACTATCAGCTTAAATCATTTCTAACGCACTCCTAGATTAACAATCTGTTTATAACTGTAAATGATTTAGTTGCATAGGAACTAAACTTTGGGAAAGTAACAAAACAATACCTAGACAAATATCAATAGTTTTTTCATTTTTACTTACTTTAACTAAGATATAATTGCCTGGTTTAATAGTAAGTAAGGCTCCATCAAATGTTTCGACATGAGTAAGACCGACTACTGAGCATGTTCGGGATGTCATTGATTGTTCAACACAATCCCATCCACCATTTTTGCATTGACTATAATGAAATATATAAAAATAACGATAATAGTTTATGAAATGTATTCATACCATTTTTTTCCATTTCGAAGTAAGATTTCATTTGGCATAAAGACTCTTCCATGATGATGACATGTACATTCATCTTGAGGAACGCAATCGCCACTTCGACCTTCATCAATAATTGTTCCATTTGCGCAAACACAACCGGAACGACAATCACGCAAACAATTTTCATTATTGGATTTTATATAGGGATTTTGGCATGTTTTGGGGCAAGTAGTAACACATTTTGAAAATACTTTATTGGGAGGGCAATCGGAGAGTTTACCATGTCTAAAACAAAATCATTATAATTAAGAAATAAAAAATACAATAATACTTTATCCAATAGTTTTCATACCTATCTCTGTAACCAGTTAAACAACGAAGGAGAGGGGACTGTTCAGCTTGTTGAGTAGAAGAAAATTGCACAATCAATATAAAAGCCAACAATTTTTCAGCAATACGATGCATTGTTATGTCGGCTTCTTTTTCGAATTTGTTTTGGTACCAAAGAAGCGGGTTACAAGGCTATTATATCCTGAGATAGTTAATGATTGTCTACTAATTTTATTTTTTTTAACAAAAGAAAATTACATTTATCTGGTAACAGTTGGAAGAAATGGTTGCTTATTTTTGTGCACAAAAAATATTATAATAGAGAATCGATGGCGGATAATGATGATGATATCCTGATGGTGCGTAGTTTTTCTCGATAATAATTTGATTTTCTTTTCAGCAATACAACAGTTAATTGCAGAATGCACTAGAACAACTAGCTTAATATAGTAATGAATAATAAAGTCATTATATAACATTAAAAAAATCAGAGAGCTGGTGCCTACTGAAAATGTCATTTTCTAGAATTATTCTATTATTATCATGAAAATTTTCTGGAAGAAAAGAAACAAAAACTTTTATTTTATCTGTAGGAGTATTCAATTTCCAAAGGTCAGTTGACATTATTATCAAAAGAAAAACAATCATATTTTATGATTACTTTTATTGCATAGTACCGACGCTCTGCAAAAAAATAATGTTTACAGTGCACAAAATTTTTATAACGATATATCAATTTATAGATTAAGATGATATGAATACTATTTTTTATATTAATTAATTAACTAACTAACTTATTAAATTAAAAATTTCGTTGATAAATTTACAAAATATCATGCTATTTTATGATATATTTATAGACACTTGTACATTTGAAATTCGGTTTTTATTGAAATTAGATAAAAATTTGTAACCTGTTTTTTTCTTCAAACATTATTATATTAAATGAGTTGGAAAAAAGATGAAATTTCCATTTAGAAATAATAGTTTACAACGAGTTATTATTATATTTTTAATATTCTATACAAAACTTTTCAATATCAGTTATCAATGAAGAGAGTCCATTTCTTTGCCATATGTTTCTCATTGTGTTTTATTTTAATACTACTGCGTAGTTGTTAAATTTATCTAAATCACATATGGATGTTTTATTATTTTCTTGTAAAAATAAACAATAGATACTTTAATAACAATTAATAATAACTACTGATCTTATTGAAAATCTCATCTTACTCTTGTTAAGCAGGTGAGTATTTTTTTGAAACATTAAGATCAATGTAAATTAAATATTTTCAAGATATATTAACTAGTATACATCTTCTTTCATACAAATGAATTATAAAATGGTGATTGAAATTTTAGGATAAGATATGTAAAATATTGAAGTTTCTGTGTGACACATTTTATATGAAATCAAATTAAGTAATTTGTTTCTATATATGCATTTATATAAAAAAAAATATAGGTACGAATGTTTGAATGTTATAAGCAAACATGCACAATTCCTGCCGCCCTCCAACATCCCTCTAGCATATAATGGTAACCAAACTGTTTAACAGCATTGTGCTGCCTCCGGCGCACAGCTCTCTGGTTGGTTTGATGTTTTCGCCTTGTTCTCTTTTTTTTTACTTGCTTGCTTGCATGCTTCGTTCTTCTATTCTCTTTTCCACCGCTGCTCTTGTCCTTGCCTACTCGGTGCGCTCACTGTTGATGGTGTAGCGCTCGAATGGCAGCAACACTGCCGCAGAAATAACAAAAAGTAGCCGTCCTCACAAACGAGCAACGAATGAAGCTTATGTCTTTATTCATTCATCTATATTTCACTTAATAAATGTTGATAAAACTTTCTAAAATCTTTCATCAATGGTCAATGCTATATATTCTTTTTTTTTGAATTTATATAGAAAACTTGAAAGAGAGAGAAGAGAGAATAGGAAGAGAAAATAAGGTGCATTATCTAGTTTGCATTGCCTTGTGTATTCGCCTTTCTGTTTTTGTTCGTCCTTTTTTTCTTCTTCTATGACTTGCAACACAACAAGAAAGACACAAAGAAGAAAGAGAAAGAGAGACGGAGAGAGAGAGGGAGAGTGAAAGACAAAATATACTGATCGTAACTGACGTGGGACATCTTTTGACATGCATATGAATATTAAAATAAACTTATATTCTTCTCTATTTTTATTAGTTACAAATTTTTTTAAAAGACAAAATCAGTTGATTTAAAAAAAACTCAAACAAATAAACAATCAATCATCGTTTTATTATTCTTATTCGTTCTCACGTATGAACACGATGCAAGCATTAGACACATTTACTGTATAGTACATTTACATACAGAGACAAGAGAGAACTACTACTGATGTGGTGCGCGTACATAAATTGCCTTCTTGTTCTCTTGCCTTCTCTATTCGTCCCTCCTTGTGTCTTTCTCTTTTACTCCACCCAGTATGTGCGAAAGAGCGTCACTATTCATATAACTATTCATTGCTTTCAATGCTTCTTTTTTTTTGTCAAAGAAACCGAGAGGACGATGGTCATGTGTTTTGATCTTGTTCATATAATACAGCTTATTTTTTTCATCATATGTTTTATAACAAAATTTGACATACACATATTATTAAACTATAAGTTAGATGTGTCTTGATTTTTAACAAAAGAGGAATTGATACAATAAATTAAACTCTTTCATTGAAAGCACAGCAACATATAGATAGTTTTATATTGACATCGAACTATTATGAGTATGTTCCTTGATCAAAAGAATGAGGCTTATTTAAACATTCATCAACTCTCGAATGATACTAATGTAAAAATTTCGTAAATATTTGCAAACAAAATCTGTTTAACTGTTGTCTATTTTTGAAACGACAATTTCAACAGTTACTTGAATAACTGTCAACAATAGCAAGAATAACGAGAATAACGTCAACAAGATGCAGTCAGTCGTTGTTATCATCATCCTTTTTTTTTCGCTGTTTAGATAGAAACGAGCAAATAAATGCAATGAAATGACGAGTGCAAAGAACTTCCATTGAATATATACAAGTGAATATCAAGAACAGCATGTAACTTCTTTTTCTCTCTCTCTCTCTCTCTCTCTTTCTTTCTCTTTTGACAAAGAGACCACCATTTCGTTCAATAGACAAATAGTCAAAATAAAAAGTTTTTCCTTGCTTTTGAAAATATATATGTATTGTGTGTGTGTGTGTGTGTGTGTGTGTGTGTGTCAAAAGATAGGAGAAGACAGGGTGGAGACGGACGAAGAGAAGAATGCACACGTGTGGCGTGTTGTGCTTTCTTATGATTCCTATTTATTAACAACCGAAAAAACCTTTTTGCTTTTTCGTCGCGTCTCTCTTGTTCTCTTCGTCTTTCTCTTCTGCTCGCTCGCTTGCTTGCCTTCGTATATGTGTCCTCTTTTATTTTCTCCTGCGAAAGAGAGAGAGCAACCATTACTTGCTTGCTCGCTCGCGCGCGCGCTTGCTGCTTCTCTCCTTCTCTCCTTCTCTTTCTCTCTATATGTGTCTCTTTCTCACTCACTACTAGACTATTACTATTACTACTATTACTATTACTAAACAACGCGTCTTCTTCGCACCATCATCCATGCTTTCTTTTGCTGCGATGTTGGATTTTTTGCTTACAACACTTTGACGCATAATGATGAGCATCATTGCACTTTGTACACCTATTTCTTATGTTTCAGTTAAAATGACTTTTGCACAATGAATATAACAAAAAAATAAAGAAAACAACAGATTTATCTGGACACTATGCTTATCTTTCTTTCTTTCACTCTCTCCTTCTCCCTCTCTCTCTCTCTCTCCCTATTCTATGAGCGCACACACATATTGTTCGTTCTTCTCTTGCGTTGTACGCATAAAGAATATAGTCGAAGATTTAGTATGAATGATGCTAGTTTGGTCTTGTGTTCTTTCCATCTTTGTTTATTTTGAAAAGAGACATCAGATTCATTTAGCTTTGTCGACAATTTTGTACTCTCTCCCTCTCTCTCTACATATATATATACATATACATTGATATCACTTGTGAATAGAAAAAAAGCAAAATAAATCGACATCATTTTCAATTATTTCACATAAGTTTTGCTTCAATTCTTTTTCGCATTATATGAATGTCTGTATGTTTCCATTCTTTTTCTTGTTGTCTTTCTGATTGTACCTTTTCCTTTTAGGTATAACGATAATGAGCGATATATATATATATACTCGAAAATTTGAGAGATAGAGAGGATGCGAGAAGACTTTCTCTCTTATTTTGACCTCGATTGAACATTCGTCGTCGCATAATTATTCTTTTTTCTCTCTCCCTCGTTCTCTCTTTGTCGAGTAAGCGAGTGCGCATAGCGCTCTATCCTAAAAAAAAGAGTGTGCGTTCTCCCGCTCTCTGTCTCTCTCTTTCAGCGTGCGCACAGCGCAATGTGATCATCCATCATTGCATATAGAGAGAAACGAAGAGAAACGAAGAGAAGAAAATTGCAATGATCGCGTCTCTCCTTTAGCAAGCAAGAAGAGAGGGAGAGAGAGAGAAGGAAGACGGCGGCGACACAAGAGGAAAAAACAACAACAGGCGCGCGTTTTTCTTGCACACATACAATTGAAAATACGTTGTTCGAATTCGGAAGACGGTAAAAAAAGTTTTTTTTCTTCTCTAGATGATCTTCTCACCTATTACAACGATGAATACAACGCCATTAATACCAACACGCGTACAGTCACCATCATTTATTCGTAAAAGAAACTTACCAACTCCTCCACCATCTTTTGCTGATGTCAATGATTCCTCATCGTGTTCTTCTTCGTCTTCTTCTTCTTCTGTTTCATCTGCTTATTCGACAACTACAACTAGTAGTACGACTCTTAGTGACAATAACAATACAGTAACATCATGTGATTTATTAAATATAATAACGGATACTCGTTTTCGTCCAGTTTTTCAAGCTATTGATGAAATAAAACGACGTAAATGTCGACCAGATCTTGAACGAATACTGAAATACGTTGAAAAACGATCTACAGGAAATAATATTTCATATCAACGTGATGAAATACTTGTAATACTTGATGATTTACTTAAACTTGGTCTTATTACAAAAGTATTTCATAAAGGTGGTTTTACTATACGAATTAAAAATGAAAAATGTGCTAAACTTATTGAAAAAATGAATGTATGTTATAATCAAAAAACGCCAACAGCAACACCTATGAGTCCTCATGAAGCAATGGCTGCTGCTGCTGCTGCTGGTACTATTAATATAAATAATCAACAATGGCCAGCACCAAAACAATATGTATTAAATTCAAATGAAAAGAATAATAGTGATCATCAACATATTCATCATATACGCGAAACACCATCTCCAGAATTTGCCGTGTTTAAAACGGGTAAGAAAGGCAAATCGCTCTTTTTCCTTTCTTTCTTTCTTTCTTTCTTTTGTACTGTTCAACATATTATACTTACTTACTATGACTCGATTACATAATTGAGTCCCACTCATCGTATGATAGAAGAAGAAAAAGAAGAAGAAGAGAAAAAAAAAGAAAACGAGCGAGATCTCGCTTGTCGATACTCTCAACTTACTTATCCCATAGGCTATGTTTTGTTTCTCAACACATCATTTCTTATCTATGTCTTTGAAAAGATTGTAATGAGAGATGTCTAATATTTTAGAATCATCATTACCTGTATATTCATCAATTGATCAAAATAATAACTCTGGAAAACTTCAAATGATAAAAGAAAATACTCTTACGAATGGATCAAATTTTTTATCATCATCATCAACAGCATCATTATCATCTTCGAATTTGAAATTAAATAAAAAAAGAAATCGAAGTCAAACAGTATCTTCAAATGACAGTAAAAAATCACGTTTAATAAAAACATCGGATTCAATTCTTACTTCATCTCCTCCTATTCTCTCTAATGTAAATAATAATGATGAACATTTATTTCGTAAACCTTTAATAACAAATAATAATTTACCGCCGATAACTGTTGAACAAATTCTTGGATTACGTGGTGATATACCTGATGTTCATAGTTGGTCAACAAATGATTTAAATGAATTTTTTCAACAACAAGGATATGAATATGCATCCATTGTATTAAATAAACATCATATTAATGGAAATAAATTATATGGACTTAAACGAGAACAAGTATTTCGACTGTCAACACTTAAAATCGGTAAGGCACTTAAATTATGGAATGTAATTGAACAGATACAACGAAAATCATTATCTTAATATTTAAATATCTTAATATCTTCTTTTTTTTTCTTTCTTTCTGTTTTTGTTTGTGTTTATTTCTTTCTATGTGTACCTGTATGTATGTTGATTAAAGTAAAACACAGATTTGAGTCTTTCCAAAAAAAAAAAAATGAAAATCTTCAGACAAAAATTCAATCATTTTATATACTATATAGTATTTAGTTCAATTCTTGATATAATGAAGATTTTCTTGAATGATGCGGAAGAATAATTTTTAACTGATAAGTACTTTTCATAATTTGTACCTCTGATGTCTTTCTAATTTTTACCAAAGAAAAAAAATTATGTTTGAACATCAACAAACGAATAAACAAAAAAATTACAAACAATGTTATTAAACTACAATTGGTTAATTTCTTTCATAAATGTATCATATGCATCATCTGTTGATGGTCCAGTCATCATTAAATGATGTTGATTTGTTGCACTAGCTGTATTTCCAAGTCGTGATCTCATTGAAAGTGGATCTTCAAAACGTGATGTTGATTTCATTCCACCAATATCTGATCCTTTTGCACTAATACTATTACTCGAAGGACCTCCTATTCCACTTCGTTTAACTTTAAGTACAGTTGGCACAAATTTTGTAACATCTTGTCGTGCTCTAAAAAGTAAATTTTATATTTATGAAATGAAAAAAAATAAGAAATTACCTTATTTGAGGTTTAGCTTCAAATGTCATACTAGGCTTATTTGATACCGGGGCTATATTAGGTGTAATTGATGTTTGTTGTGATGGTTTTACAACGAGACTTGGTGGTGCACTGAATACGTTAGGAGCCTGTTGACGGACTAGTTTTGATGCATTTGATGGTGCCATATTTGGTGGATATGGTGGTCGAATATTTGGTGGCATTCGAACATCTAAAAGATAGAAATTATAATATAAATATATATGATTTTTTAAGATTCTTTTTATACTTGGATTTGCAGCAAAAAATGATGCTGGAGGTGGTGGTGGAGGTAATCGCATTCCTAAAAATATCAAATGTATACATTAATGTAAGAAATTATTTATGATGATACTAACCACGAGGTGGTGGAGGAAATGGCGGAGGCATAATAGGAGGTGCTCTTTCCTAAAAGACAAAATTTCTCTATTAAATAAAAACTATTTATTCAATTGATTAACTGTATTGAGTTGTGGCGGTTGAGACACAGTAACTGGAGTACCAAATTCTTGCATTTCATTCTGTTCATATTCATTAGGATTATTATCACTCCATCGACTTACAGATGGTGCTGCTGGCAAAGAAGATGATGGATCATTAAAACGAATTCGTCGTCGATCTTAGAAAAAAAGAATCTTTTTATTTAAAAGAAATAAAAAGAAATTTACCATTCGATTGAACAACTTTTGTTGCTGTTGTAGAAACTTCTGTAAATCAAAATAGATTAAATAAAATTTTGAATATAAATAATATTACCTTCTTCATCATCACTAATATCTTCATTATCACTTAGAATTGGCGGTCGACCAATTGGTGGACCTGGTGGTTTTTTTGAAATAACAATACGTTGTGATGGTTCAATTGAACTTCAAAAAAAAAACAAATTAAAATAGTAATACATATCTTTTGAAACAAAAATAATTACTCTTTTTGTTTAAGAATACTTCGTGGTGTATCTGGCGCACTTGCTGTGGATCCAGAAGGTAATTCAGGCATCGGAATTTCATCAATAGTAACACGTTGTGTTTCTTTAACTGACTCTATAAACAAAAAGAATAATTATAAAAAATAGAAAGAAAAAAATTCAATCTTCTTACCAAACCATGTTATCAATTGAGCTCGTGATTTTTCATACTCTGCTAATAATGTATCCATTTGTAAAGCTGAATCTGGTTGTTCTTTTGACTGTAATAAAAAGAAACAAAGAAAATATAAATCTAATAATTTAATTTTCTTAACTTACATATAATCGATAAACTCTATCCCATGTTTCTTTCACTTTTTTTCTTTTTTCTTGTAAAACTTTAATATTATAAGGTGATGGATTAATAGGATCATATTCCATTCGATCAAGATGTTCCATATCACTAATAAGACCTCTTGGATTTTTTCCTTTAAGTACATTTTGTCGTACTAATAGACGTTGTTTTTTATTTTTTTTTAATTCTTTTTTTCGAGCTTCTTTTCCTATAGAAAAAAATTTCAATTATTATTTCCTTTTTTTACTCATAAAACTTACGAGCTTGATCTGTTGGATTCATGATTTTACCACTTTTAGTTATACTAATATTTCTTCCACCCATTTTGGGTTTTTTTTCGTATATACTGATTTTAAATCTACAAAGAATATATTAATTTTTTTCTTGAGTACCAAATCCAAATATGTATATTTATAAATGTTAAATCACTTTTCATTCAATAACAAGAATATAAAATAGAGAGAGAAAAAAAATAATAAACATTAGACCCAAATGGAATGTTTATATACACAATCACCCAGAACGAAAGACAATGAAATTTAAGTAAACGCAGCCATAAATCGATAGAAGTCAGTTTTATAAGATGATATAACAAATAATTTCGATTTTTTTAAAAATCGTATTTCTTTTAATTGATCAGAGAAACGATATATTGTATCATGAAAACGTGTTGGAATCTTTTCAATTAATGTACGTACAGATGAATTATATGATATTTCATCCTCAATTAATAATGTTGATATTAAAATTGTTAAAATTAAATCTGGTATATCAAATACAAATACTTCAATACGACTTTTCGATGTAAATAATGATGATATTGTTGATAATTTATAGTGTACCTTAAAAAGAATTAATATGATAGTTTTAACGAAAGCAAAAGAAAAATATGAAATTTTACTTGATTTTCAATTTTTTTCTTTGGTATTGATTTTAGTATTGAATCAATTAGATACAAATATATATTTAATTGTGCACCAGCACTGACTGGTTCATTATTAGATGTTAATGAAGATAATGATGGAGCATTTTTCATTGAAATTCCACCTGGTGTGCCCACTGTTTGTTGAGGTAATGATGGTTCAGTATCATTATACAGATTCAATGATGTTCCACAACTATTCGAATTAATCAGATTTGTATTAGTACTATCGCCTCGATAATACTGAACGATTTGACCACTGGATAGACGTTTATCAGTAATAACTTTACCATTTTCATATGTACGAAAACGAAAGCCTTCATCAATTGAATCTTCTTTTCCATAAATTAAATAAGTATAACCACATGAGAGACAATAATCATCGAGAATCTCAAAATTCTGTAAAAAACAAACAGACATGATCAGTCAAATAGAGGTAAACTTAAAATTTTATATTTCAAACTTACCGATGGAAATTCATAAAAAGTATCAATTCCGATACCATTTGTAACAAGTTCAAGACGAAGACGTAATAATTCGACTGGATGACTACCCAAGCAAATCACTGTATCACAAGATTTATTCGTATTCTATCAGAAAGAAATATATATATATAAAATATTTTTAAGAAATAAGATGATAACGAACTGATAAACGAGTTGGACTTGTTGTTCGAGTTATTGAAAGTTGAAGAAGACGTTCCATATCAAAACTTACTCCAACAATATGTGGTAAATCATTAGAATGTTTCTTTTGTGATGGTCGTCGAAATTGTGCAAGCTATGATAAATAATATTTCTTTTAATAAATAATCACAAATTTATTAAACATACTAATGGATCATATCGACCACCTCCAGCATAAACTTCATAAACTGATCGTTTTTTTCGTTGAACAACAGAAGCTAATTGAAATATAAAACCTGAAAACGTGTTTATATCCAATATTGGATTAAGTGTCATAAATCGAAGTGTTAAACGTATCTAAATAATGAAATAAAATGATTCAGAAATACAATGAAGAAATTTCTAATCCATACAGGGATTGTTACACCAAAGCAACGTGCATATGTTACAATTGTTTCTAATTCCTCGACGATATTTTTCAATAATTTTGATCCCTAATATAATATTCTATTTCTGTTGTTGTTTATTTAAATAATAGAATATATTACCTCAGTTTTAGCTTTAGTAAATCCTCTTAAATGACTAATAACTTCATTAAATGGTCCATCTTTATCTAATAATGTTTGAATACGATTTGCTGTTTGTTCACTAATTCCATTTTCGATTAAATACATAGCTATTGTTGAATTTGTGGAATCGAAACGACTCTTGAAAAAAACAAAATTTAGTACAATTAATCATTATTTTGAAATATACTTTATTAATTGCCGCTAAACATGAACTAATTTTATCGGTGGGTACATCAAAAAAGATTAAAATAGCACGTAACAATTGACTATGATTTAATCGAATAAAAACATTTCGTTTCTAAATATAAAAATAATCAAAATCAAATTCTTTTTTCTTTCGTTTGATTTTTAAAACTTACTTTTTGTAAATGTAATTCTTCAAGAATATCTTGACTCACAGCTAATATTTCAGCATCCGGAAGAAATCTTTTAGAAAACAAAAAATACGAAATTAATAATAAAATTATTAGTTTACGTTGATTGTGTAAATATAATATCATAACCACATTCAGTTAATTCACGCGGATGCATTTCAGTAACACCTTCACGATAGACACTTCCAATTTGATAACATTTCATTGTCGTCAAACCATTTAAACCATAATGAGATACACATCGAGCAATAAAACGAGCCAATGGTACCTAAATATAATCAGTTAAAATAAGAAACATATTCTCTTTCTCGTAGAGAAGAGTCCAGTAAACATAAATTGTCTGATTGCTTGATTGCGTGACCGCAGGGTCAAAAAAACATCGAAGACCAGTTTTTCGGAAAAGACATTTCTATAGGTTTCTCGATGCCGGGACTTCGAATCTGAGGCCTGTTGAGTGACCATGGCAGGGGGGCAGAGGTCAAAAAAACATCGAAAACTGATTTTTCACGGTTTTCAATTGTTTTTTCAGTAAATGTGAAGAGGATGCATTTTTATGAGAAAGAGCTAAGCGAGTCCTCGGACGAGCATTACTTGTATATATATGACATACTTTCGAATCAAATGCGAGTGAAACAATAAGACCAGTTGATGATATAAATTTTAAATTTGAACATTCATTTTTATTATAAAGCGATGTTTCAGGTATAAATATTGGTAAACGAATAAGAAATGCACCATATTTTTCAAATATACGAATAAAACTATTTCGTATACTTGCATAAAGATGTGAATCTCGATGAAATATTGTTAACTAAAATGTTTTTTTTTGTTTTGAAAAAGAAAAATTCTTTATGATATGAAATACTTTGTTAAAATCAATTTGAACATCTGGATCAAATGTTGCATCACGTGCAATATTATTTTTTCGTTGAAATAATTTCGTTATTGTTTTTCGATAATAAAATGATTGTAAATCATTATTTGCACTATTTATCATACTATCTAATAGTTGTTCAAATTGTTCTTCTTGTTCGAATGGAATTATATTCGATTCTAATAAAGTATTTGCACTTGGTCGTTTATCTGCTTCATGATTAAGCATTTGAATAACAATTTCATACTAATATGAAAAAGGAAAATAAAGACAATTTTTGATTTAGTACAATTTACATGACGTGAAAATGATTTTTGTCGAAAATGATCGGGAACATATATTTCTGGACGACGTAATTCACATAATGTTTTCGCGCGTTCCATTGATGTATTAAATGGATAACACATTTCAAAAAATGTTATACCTAAACTATATATATCGATTTTCTAAAACCAAAAACTTCTGTATAGATATATTCATTGTATTTTTCAACTAACTTCAGTGGGTGCTATTCGTTGACCACTTAATAATTCAGGTGCTATATAAAATGTTGTTCCAACAGGAGTACTTATAAGTCCACCATCTTTTAGTTCTACTGACCAACTTGATCGTGCATCTAAATGGTGTTGCGTTTGAGCAGATGAATCGGTGTAACCCTATTTAGAAAAAGAAATAGAATCAATGAAAACAATTAAGAAAAGAAACAAACATACAGAAAGTTTACTGATTGTTGCAAGACCAAGATCTCCTATTTTTGCATGTCCATTTGAATCAAGAAGAATATTACCAGGTTTTAGATCTCGATGAATTATTCCCTATATAGAAATGATATGTATATATTCAAAGAAGAAAATAACTTTAATTACTTTGGAATGCATATGTCTAAGACCATCTAAAATTTCACGTAATAACATCCAAATCATATTTGGTTTTTCCTGTAATATTCCTCGATCTATCAATTGTTTTAATGTATTTCCTTCACAGTATTCCATCTAAATTAAATCATTTTAATAAAAATATCTGTTTTTTTAGGTTTTGTCAATATTTACTTGTATGAATAAAACTCGTTGAATATGTTGATCACCATTGGTATTAACAGATGATGATGAACTTGATCGATCATTTTTATTTCCATTAATAGGAAGTTCAGATTTCTTGAAAAAAAAACAATGACTCTAATTTATTGTAAGTACAGACTATGTAGATTCAAAGGATTTAGAATAGTAGGAAAAATAGTTTTCTTTCCCGAATAGAATCAATTTTGAATGGTTTAGAAGCAGTACATGAAAGGTATCGAAATAAGAATTCTGAATAAAATACTTACATCACCATCATTATCTTCATGATCAAATACAACTATATCATCACTTCTTTCTACTGGATGAAATGTTCTATTTCGAAAAAACAATCAAATCTTATATATCTAGGGTTTTTATTTCCTCAAAAAACAAACCTTGTATCAAATACACCACTTTCATCGTCTGACGAAGGTATCGATGATGATGTACTATCGAACGAATTATTTTCTCCATTTTGTTGTTCACCTGAACTCGATAATTCAGGTATTGTACCACGTAATTCATTTCTTAAACTATCTCCATTAGCAGATTTCTTTTTTGAAGATGCATGTGATTTATTTGTTGTTGATGGGTCTGTAGAAGATTTATTTTCATTTCTCAATGGCATTTGTTCAGTCCATGTACTATAATATCTAAAAAGTTCAAAATAAAAAACAAACAAGATTTTATATTTAAATTATTTAAAAACATTTTACCTCACGATATTTTGATGATTTAATTTTGAAAGTAATTTAACTTCTCGTGTAATTTTTTTATTAACATGCTTATTTGCACTCTTAAGAAGAATCTGTTTAACAGCATAAAAGCATCCATCTAATTTATTTTGTACCTAAATGATTGTTTTGATATGCATATTAAAAAATATTTCGTTGTTTTTCTTCTTACTTTGAATACATGTCCAAACCCGCCTCGACCTATACTTCCAATAACTTCAAAATCAGATTTAAGACGTGATTGAGCTGATACAAGCATTTCATCATTATTATTACTTGTTGAATTTGTATCACGATCTATAGATTATATTAGTTCTTTTTTGTATATAAGGAAAAATTATTTCTCATACTTTCCGAATCAGAAATAAGTCTATCAAAATTTGTCTGTGATTCATTTGTATGAACAAGAAACGGATCTATCAATAATTGCTTCAATGATTCACCACTTGCACAACTTAAAATGAAAATTTTATTAATAATTATTTCAACAGAAAAATTTTACCGTTGTAAAAAATCTCGAAATTCATCAGATAATGTTGATGGTGTATCAAGGATACACGTATGAACTCGTCCAGTAGCCAAATTGAGCAAAAGTAAACCCTATTTAAGCATTTAATTTGAATTATAAGCTATAGATTTATTTTACCATATCGTAAATATCATATTTAGTTGAACCCTGTAGAGATCTTGGAAGTTGATCTTCATGATACAAGATATGTAAATCATTTAATCTAATTTAATGAATAGGATTTTTTTCGAATGAAATGAAAAAAAAGGGAAACCAACCTTCGAACGAAACTTGTTCGAGTTAATTTAATTCCTGTTGCACAAAGATAAACCGATTTTGTCTGAAAAAGAATTTCATTATCAGTCAAGAAAACAAAATTAATTTTACATTAATTGCACGATGAATAATTGATTTTGAATGAAGAAATGAAAGTATTTCACAAAGAGATATTGCAAGTTTCCTTAATAAAGATTCCGATACCGGACAAGAATCAAATACTTCAAGAGAGCTAGCTTCTGGCCATTCAGTTAAAACCTATACAAAAAAAAAACAATAGAAAAGAAAACCATAAGTTTATTTTTTGTCTTACTCGAAATGTATAAGCAGCTGTGTCATGAATAACGTATTGATAAGCAATAATTTTACATAATAAATTATGTCGTATATTTATTAAATGTTTAATATCATTTTCAATATTTCCTATTTCACGGCGATATTGTGCACGAAAATCTTCTTGATCATTGATTTTCTCATCATTTAATATATTTTCAAAATTCCATTCATAAAGACAATAAATATGTGCCGAATCACTGTCTGTACATAAATACGATGTATTAAGTATTTGTTCTGGTACAAGTGGATGCATTTCTTTATGTAAAATATGACCACGACGAATAGTTATCTCAGTTGGATTTTCAAATTTTATCATTGTTTCAGATATAATACGAGTAAATTGAACATGTTTTGTTGATGTTACATCAGACTAAAATATAAAATTGATATCAGCAAAGAATTTTTTATGTATGAAGTAATCAACCAGTCTATGTCGTTGTTTTTCTGCTTCTTTTGAATATCTTTCTAAAATAGCATCAATTTCTTGTTCAATTTTTTGATCGTTCTAAAAATATACTATTGTAATAATATTATTTTTTTCATTATTAAACTAACTTCATTTTCAGGATTTGGTTCAATTACTGGCGGTATATGAGGTGGAGTACGTTTTCTAGGACGAAACTCATCGAGAAATATTTGTGCATGTTGTGCAAGTAAATAAATCATTTCCTGAATGAATAAATATTATATGATTTTTGTTATAAATTATTTTGGAAGTATATACTTCGCCAATGTAATTTTGCATTTGAATTCGAAGTTCTTTTTCGCATCGTTCTAAAGCATCAATAGATAAATTTTTAGGATTGGTTAATTCTATTTTCGGAAGTCTAAAACAAATGAATACTATCAATTATAGTATTAATTACGCAATTCATTTACTCATGTGGATATTGAGATGTTTCTTGAACGATTAAATCAAATGTTGGATCATTATTTTGTTGTACAATTACACTATCAGATCGTATTGGTGTTATTGTTAATGAAAAATACGGTGGGCGTAAACGTTTATCACGTTTGCTACGAAGGTCTTTTAAAGCACTACTATAAATTGAGCTCAAAACGCGAATCTCGTTTTCTTGAGCATGTTTGAGATTAGACTCCATCATACAGACGGAGAAACTCAAACAATAATTAAAAACATAATTCAACAAATCTAAAAAAACGATTTAAATTACATCATTTTATGAAAGTTCTTCTCAAATAAAATGCTTTACCATGCAATGTTTTCTTATTGTTGGAATATATTGTCCAATCAATAATATCTATTAAAAATATTTTCATTGGATCAATTCAGTTACGATTGTTATAACTTATGTATATTAACCTAGTCTTTTGAATAATTTCCTTACAAAAACGATGATTGAATACAAAGGCATGAGCCAAATCTTACATTTTATTATTGGTATTTTTTTATTATCCATTTCAATTTTTCTTTATCTTGGTCTTCGTCCAATTTTTATTCTTGCTAGTGTTGCTCTCGGTATATTTCTTATTGATTATTCGATTTTTCCATTTATTTATCTTTATCGAGCATTTATTCAATGGTTTCCATTATTATTCGAATTAAATATTTTAAATGGAATATTAATATTTAGTCGAATATTTCATATTTCAAAATTTTGGTCAGTTATTTTTATTAGTATTTGTATTATACGAAGTTTTACTTTAATTTATTTTCGTCATTTACCAATTAATAATTATTATCGTTTATATGTAGAAAATAAAATTGAAAATTTATCGAAATTATTTTTAAATGAATCAAAAAAATTCTATCATCGTTTTATTCAATTATCTCCTCATATTAATAATGATGATAATGATTTAAGTAAATTTCAACTAGAACAAATAAATTCAACAGAAGATAATCATGATGAAACTATTGAACGTTTTCAACAAATTGCTCATGATTTATCATCACCTGCTGTATCAAGTATTGATTGTTCAAATGTTTCAACACCACCTATTCGTCGTCATCATCAACGTATTCTACAACAAAGTGAACTTGAACCATTATCTCGAACACCAATAACACCAGCACATACAAATTCATCAAAAGGAAAAATTTTACATTCAACTATAAATGGTTCATATACAGGACCGGTAACGAGAAATCGTATGAAAACTGATGGTTCAACATCAATAAAAACATCACCAATAAAAAGCAAAGCAAACCACAATGAAGTGACTTTTCTTGTTTGTAAACGAAATGAAGATAGTCAAAAACAATAATCGAAATAGGACAGATAATCTCTTTTTATTTTATTTTTTAATTATTTAATGTCAGATATTTTTCTTTTTTTTTATTATTATTTTTAATTAATTCAATAAAAAAAGAAAGATTACACATTATACTTGCAGTAGAATATATACGATTTATTACAAATAATAAATCAATAGAAGAAGAAGACGAACTGAAGTCTGCAGTTAGTAAAAAAGTGTATCCAGTTAGTAATTACTTCTGTAAAACAAATCATTCATTCTACTGTTTTGATTATATAATTCAAATAGATCAGTCTTTTAAGAATTTTCTATTTCATTAATGAATGATTAGTTGTTAGATATATCTAAACAAGTAACGCTCGTTCGAGGACTCGCTTAGCTCTTTCTCGTAGAAATGCATTTTCTTCACATTTAATGAAAACCGTGAAAAATTGATTTTCGATGTTTTTTTGACCCTGTGGACACACAAGCAGACAATTTATGTTTACTGGACTCTTCTCTACGAGAAAGAGAATAAAAATTTGCTATCGAATGATTAGTTGTTAAATATATGTAAATAAAGATTTGCTATATTTAAAAATGGTAGTTATTTATGATGTGAATTGTTTTGACAGAAGTATATATTGTGTTACAATGATGTTATATCATGTTTGAAAATTTTTGCTAATTAAAATTTTAAACATGATAGATAATTGAAAAGAGCTATTTATATTTCTTGTCAGAAAAATGTAGCCTTGAAAAGCTAGGGTATGTATTCAGTAATGCATTTCAAATCGTTAAAAAAACGAATGATCATTCTATTCTATTGTGTTAATCGGTTTTGTCACTAAGTGATGTCGATTTGTTATCGAGATTGATAGGTATACATTCAATATGATGAATTCTTTATAAACATAACGCGTTTTTATAATCGAAGATAAGAAATTTATTTATCTTTTGATAATGATGTCATGTGAAAAAGTTATCAGAAGATATCTAATAAAGCAGTTTATAATAATATTGCGTAGTCTGTATATTTAAATAGAGATAAAATATTACAGAAGCGTTAAATAGGCAGCTCGAAATTAATAATCGTTATAGAAAATAAATGCATTCATCATCGTTGTTAAAACATCTTGTACCGGTTTGAATTCTTTCATATTAATTGTCTTTTTTTTGTTATTATATATATGTAATTATTGTTTAGTTTATCACTCGTACATCACAACGTCGTCTTGCTGCATATGCTCAATCAGACTTAGTACTACATAATGATCCTGTTCTTCCAATCATTGATTTTTCATCATTTGCAAGTAAAAACGAAACAAATGATTATCCTCGCGATATGATCGAGAAATTGGCAAATGCTTGTGAACATGTTGGATTTTTTTATGCGATCGGTTCGTAGTTGCTCTTATTCGCATAAAAATTAATATTAAAATAATCGCTTGATGTTATAGGTCATGGAATACCCAATGAATTACTTCTTCGAACATTATCTGTGACACGTCAATTATTTGATCTTGATTCTAAAATAAAAAATCAATATGCTGCTCGTTTATCTGCTAATTCTTCAAAACTAAATCAACAATTCCGTGGTGGATTAGCTCGCGGTTATCAAAGTGTTGGTGAAAATGTTACAAATGCAAAACGTGATCGTCATGAAGGTTTTGATCTTTATCGTGACTTGGAAGATAATCATCCACTTCGTTTACAATTCAATGATAAAAATTTATCAAATAAAAAACTACCAGATTATCCTGAATTAGCTCAAGGAAGGAATCCATGGCCAAAAGAATTTCCAATATTTAAAGAAACTTTAACTGAATATACTGCAGCCATGCTACGAACAGGTGAACGTGTTATGCGTGCTATTGCTCTTTCATTGAATTTACCATTAAATCATTTTGAATCCACATTTAATGAGTCATTTTGGGTAAGAGCAAAATATTTTCACATTAGTTTTTCTTTTATCTTATGAATATCTATTTCTTTTTCAGGTTATTCGATGTATCAAATATCCGGCTGTACATCAAAATGAAAGTAAATCACCTGAGTATGGTCATGGTTGTGGTGAACATTCTGATTATGGTTGGTTAACATTTGTTAATCAAGATCCTGATTCACATAATTGTCTTCATGTTCGTACAACTGATACAACAAAAGCAACATATGTATCAGCTGATCCAATTATTGTCAACGAACAAATTGCTTTAACATGTAATATCGGTGATATACTTGCGTTCATCACTAATCATAAATATCGCTCAACACGTCACTGTGTTATTAGTCCAGTTAAACCTGCTCGATCACGTATTTCTACTCCATTCTTTTTTGAACCAAATCTAGATGTTAAATTACGTATTAATGAAACAACTGAATGTTATTATGGAGAATATTTAACAAATAAAGTTCGAAATAATTTCAATTATTATAATGATGAAACAAAATAATTATTATTTGTAAATTTATCTATTGACTTCAATTTTTTTTCTGTTAAATTAAAAAAAATCGTTTTACATGATTAGATTTTGATGTAAAACTTTATCGTGTTTACAATCTTTTGTATAATAAACATAGTTCGAGTTGTATCTTGATAATATCTTTCTTTGCCATAAGGATGTAATTAAGTCTCAGAAAATTTTTATGATCTTTGTTTTTCTACAAAATAGAAGTTGCTGCAAATTCCATAGTGATAGATAATATATAGCTATTAGTTGTATTAAAGTTTATTTCACAGAATTATAAGAACTCTTTTTTTTGTTAATTCAATTAGTAATACTTCTAATCTATCAAATCGAGTTAGCAATCGAAGCGTTTATTATTTTTAAGATTTTTTCTTTCGCGAAAAGAAATTTAACATACAATTCTTTGCATTACAAAGAAAAATTTCCGTTTTGATTTACACGATCGAGCTATTGATTGATTTAGTAATTGACTGCAAAAGAGAAGTTATGAATTCTTTTGTGTAACGCAAATATCTCATTTGCATATGCTAAAAATAAGACAAATTTGATTATATTATTATTAATAATGTTTTTTTGATAGACTAGAAATAGAAGAAAAGTTATCATACTCAATTTTGATTTTGTATTCATAACATATTTGTTGTCATACACGATAGTATATAATTTATCTCGATATGTGGTATTAGGAAATCTTTAAAAGAGAAATGGTATTTGTTATGACGACTGTCACACGCGATAGATGTTCTCCCATTTTTTCGTAATATTAATCGGTAGTTAAGTGTGCTTCGTGCATAAGAAAGATATACAACTATATATGTATATACATTTCAGGCGGAGGTTTCTCACGGGTAAGATGTCAATATCTATGCCGAAAAGGATGAAAAACGATTATTTCTATGTCATTACCAATTCCGTGGAGATTAATTGTACGCCCCCGTATGTTATTTATTAGTATAAATCCTATTGAACAGAAAGAAAAATAAACAATATAATAAGACATTCCTGAGAGAGAGACGTACTTAATTTTTCTGGTTATTTTTTTGCTATGTTTATTCTATCTCATTTTTATAGGTTATATTATAAAGAGTTTTAGAAGAGCAGTAATTCGTTTAGGATAATATGGCACGTGCAAAACAATGTTGTTTCAATTTTTGTAAAGATTTCAAAGCGTATGTATTTGAAAATCTGATATTTTGTTTATTTTCAATTCTCTTGTTATGCATAGATTTGCTACTCGAGGTAATATATTGGATTTAGCTATTGGTATTGTTATTGGTACTGCTTTTACTAATGTCATTCAATCAATTGTTGATGATATTATCACACCTCCATTGGGGTTAGTTTTGGGTGGTGTCGATTTTGCTAATTTAACGATTAAGATGAAGAATTTTGTTTATAAAGATCAACCACCGGTTGTTATTCGTTATGGAAAATTTATTCAATCAGTTATTACTTTATTAATTGTAGCAATGGCACTTTTTTGTGTTATGAAAGGTATTAATCAACTCTATAAAGTAGCAGCTAAAAAGAAGGAAAAAATGAAGACGGCTGCTGGTTTGGAAGCAAGTGAAGAAGTTAAAATTTTACGTGAAATTCGAGATTTATTAGCTCACCAATCGTCTATGCAATTAATGCCTGATCAATTGTAATTTATTTGTAACATTTCTATATGTTTATTTCTTCGTGTCGTCCATAGATAGACTTGATTAAATATAGACAATTATTAGTTATTTAAATAAGCCCGGTGAAAATAAAACAGACCTATTCAATTGTACTCAATTAGATTCCAATAAATCATCAAAGAAGAGTGCTTCTTAAATAAATACTTTCAATTAATGATGCTCATCTTATCTTTGATTGGTACTATTATGCATCCATCCAGTGATTCTAAAAGATTCTACTGCCTAAAATCAAATGCATGTTCCTTAGCGATGTTGATTTCTTGAAATTATCTTTTTTTGCTAAGATTCCAATGACTTTATGTGATTCGATGGATTCTAAGTTATTTCGAGCGACTCCAGCTGGTTGTAATACCTCAGAATCAGCGATTTCCTCCTAGACGATAATACTTTATGAAATATAGATAACGACTACTGAATTGAATAAAAATATCAATTGATAGATTTACATTATCGAACATATTCAAATGAGATAGAAAAAAGTTCTTGAAGGATTATTTTAATGACAAATGTGTATATTTTGATTCAAAGGAAGCAGAAGATTTTTTAATGGTTTCTTGATTTTCTCTCTTAGTTATCGGACTAATCGATGCAAGAAATTGATAAATATGACCTTGATTATGTATTTGAAACCATTTAAATACTCAATTATTTATACGCTTTCTTTCATATAGCAAATCCTCTTTTGACGCATTAGTGAATATATTATTTCTTAAGTCATAAGAAATATATTCACACTCAGAATATGATTAATAAATCGATTTTAAGAAAAATTAATTTTTTTATACCGTATAGAGTAGTCTATTTTCTTTTAACAGACTGATAAAATTTGTCGTATTATATTTTGAGATAACTGGGAAATGTCAATTCTTTATCATAGCAATATTAACTGAATGAAAATCTGTTGAACTCGACATCATTTATTTTTATACACACCGTCAAATCTGGATATACTCAAAATTCCAAAATGTTCATTTGCACAATTGTCTTGCGTACCTTCGGTTTTATGAAATATTTCATAAAGATGTAGTAGAACTTTAACGATCAATATATATATATATTTTATTTGTTCTAAGTTAGAGAAAATTAAAGAAATGTAACATAGATTTTACAAGTCTTCTATTTTTTTTTCAACAATAAAACTATATATTAATATTTCATTGCTCTATATTGTAGAAAAAAACATTTATTTGGTTTTGTTCGAAAAATGTCAGACGGCAATAGAAGTATATGCGTAAGGAAAGAATAAACGACTACTAAACTGTACAAATGTATGATCTGCTAATGAAAAAAAAGCACTACACACTCAAAAATAACTCGATGAGACCAAAAAGTAAAATACTAGATGAACAAAGAAAAAGACGAAAAGAGAAAACGATGACGTGAACAAAAAAATTGAATATTCGACAATCATTTAAAAAAAACAAATAATACAAGTGAAATACACGCATACATTTACAAACAAAAAACTAATGTCGAGTAAAATGTAACAATGAATAGACAAAACAATGGGAAAAAATCAGTTTATACGGTATAGAAATGAGACAAAAACAAAACACACATTATTTCATTGTTTAATTTTAACAGATAGATGACGAGATTCAAAAGAAAGACGAAACATGCGCGTATGAATACACATTGAAAATTGCACATATAAAATACATATCCAATATGTTTCTTTGACTTGTTGTTTTTTTTTAGTTTTGTTCAAATTAAATCTTTATTTCTTGACTCGAGAACGAACTTTACGTGCAGGTTTATCTAGATAAACGAAAAAAATTATTATTATGGAACTAGTAAAAAGATTTTAGTTATATTTTACCTTGTTGAGGACTGTCACTATCTCGACGCATATTACCAACACCCTGTGCGGCTTGATTAGCTAATTTGGATGCATATAAATTAGCTTCTTCTTGAGCTTTACCAATATTTTTCTTATATCGAATACGTTTATTACCAAACCAATTACTAACCTACAAAGAAAAAGTACATAAATTGCGAAAAATCTTTTTCCAAACTCATCGACTCCATGTTATCGCCATTCACAGAGAACGTTTAGATAAGACTAATTTTTCTTTAACCTCGTGTCTGTCTAATATTAGTAGACATTGCTCATAAATATGACTTCTACAAGGTCTTATCATAGATTCAGCTGATTGTCACTTTCAAACAAATCAATCTTCTCAAATATATCGAGATAATCAAATTGAAAAAAAAGACCGATTGTTGAAAATAATATAACAAGGTTAAATCTTTTTTTCTTCGATTATTTTCATTTCTTACTTGTGATACACTAATACTGCATTTTCTCGCAAGTTCTTCTTTAGCTTCTTCACTTGGATATGGATTTGATAGATGTGAATAGAAATATTCATTGAGAACTTCAGTAGCTGTTTTACTAAAATTACGACGTTTTCGTCTAATAAAAAATAAATGATAATATATATGTGTGTGCAATATTTTATTTTAAAACGCATTACCTAGCATCAAGAAATCGTGAACGAAGTATCATAACAGCTTCACATGTACTTTGTTTAAGTTGTAATTGTATAGATGAAAATTTTTTTCGAATAATCATCACCATTCGATCAATTTCTCGTGGTGAAATAGGTCGTGCACGACTTTGTTCTCGTAATAGATTAATAACATGACTGGTAAAATCATTACATGCTTGTTCCTATTTTATATAATAAAATATATTAGTTATTAATTAAATTTTTATCTATCATACATATTTTTCAAGTTCACTATGATAAAGTTGTCGAATTTGTGATAATTTTGCACGATAATCACCGTGTTCAAGTGCTGAATCATCATTAATACTGGCAGCTGCATTGGCACTTGCAGCTGATGATGATGATCCACCTGTTCTTTCTGGTCCAGCAATACCTTCAGCAATTAACATATTATCAAGTCGCATTAATTGTGAATCAGGTGGTTCATCTTCTGGTAAATTTCGAATATTAATTGCTATATATTATAAATTAATTTAAAAATATATATGTATATATAAATAAAATCTTTCAATCAAACCTGTTTTCTCTTTGATTTCACAAAGTACTTGAAAAAAAGCGGGTTTAAGTCGACTTTGATTAAATGCATGTTTTCTAGAAAAAAGAATAAACAAAATAAATAGCTTCTTTTTTTTTTGTATTTTTTTACAAACCTTGCTTGTGCTTCATCAAGACTTTGATCAACAATTGACATGATTTGTTGAAGCATTCCATTTACATCATTAAATGGTTTATTTTCGTTAATTCCTGTATCATAGAGATTATATTTTACATCCGATGATGACAAGGCCAATGGTGGTGGTAGTGGTGGAGCTCCCAACGGCATCATTGGACTATAATGGGATGGTAGTGAAGGTGGTACACCTTGACCATAACCTGGATCTTGACCATCCATTATCTGAATATAAATACGTCGGACACGTGTAATCAATCAAACAAGCATACACTACAAGCCTGACCTATTGACTTATTAGTTTTTTTTTCTTTCCATTCCATAGTTTACCTAAAGTAACAAAGAAATAAATACAATAATTCTATTGGCTTATCTTATTTGCATTGATGTGCTATTATTGTGAATAAGCACGCTCATAATCCATTGACAATAAAATAAGAATAATTTCTCTCAATGATTTATAATAGTATATTTTCATGTATAGATTCATTCATCCGTGATACTCAATAGATGATCAGATGAGGATAATTACGTTGTTCATTTGTATGATATAAGTACTGAGTATAATTCATAGTTTCATATACAAAGTTTTTTTTTGAAAATACAATTTAAAAAGTGATCAAGGTCTCCTATCTCATGAATATTTTATACTACTTAAATAGTCGATTTATTTACAGAAAATATTTCCTAAGAAAATGATAGATACTTGTACATACAATTAATCATGGCTAAACAACAATAATAGTTTTTCATTTGAAGGTCATATTTAATCTTAGTGAAGTGCTGAATAAGACAAAGAAAGAAGAATAATAATAATATGCAATATGAATCTAATTCGTTTTAAGCCTGGGTAATTGGAAAGATTTTTTTTTGTTTATAATATACTTGAATGAACATATGCATCCGATCAAGATAATACTATGAAATTTTTTGATGACAGGTAAAGATTGATGAATAAAAGAAACATAGATAATGATAGAACGAAATCTGATTAATTTAAGTTTGGCTGTCTACTTTCCATTTTTTTTTCAAAAAAGTAAAATGATTACTTTATCATTGAATCATCTTATAGGATTTGATATAACTCAAAATAATATGTATTCCATTTATAAATATAACTTATTGTATGCTGAACATTTGTTCTAAATTAAAATTTTGTAAATTTGATACATCTGTATCGAAATTTTCAAATCACCTTATGTAGATGAACTTGCATGGATCGTACATAATGCATAGGAAGTAATACAACAATGGAAAGATAATAAACGATCTCAAGAACAAAGAAACTATACAAATAACAATGACAATAATAGCTCATATGGTAAAAATGAAAAACGATTACGTAAACGTAAGAAATACAAATTTAAGGAATATAGCAACAATAGTTATATATGTAATAGTAGGACCATTCACTCTTCGTACTGTTGTTTATAATAAGAATACATGGTGAATGTGCTAGACAAAGCTTGTCAGAAAAATATTTTTAAAGTATACCGTTGCTTATTTTCAAGTGAACTGTTCTATACTGTCTATTAGACTTAACTGTCTAATCTGATTATGCTAATTCGAATTACAATGGAAAATGATAAGTACATTATACAGTAACCTCTCTCCATAGTGAATACATCTACATAGTAAATAGTTTCCGGTTCAATGAATCTATCTTTGATGAAACTGAAGCTCTATATAGTAGAGACTTTTAAAAATCCAAAAGGTGTTCACTATACAGATACAGAAAACTTGGGCAACGACAACCAATATAAGCAAGTAATGTATCAGCAAAGAAAATAAAGCTATTTTGTCTTGATCGGTCCAACGAAGAGCATCATGTCATGAAATAATTAGTTGAAATAAAAGCTAGACAGTGCAGATGATATATTATGTGTAACCTTCTATCCAAGAAGAATAAAAACGGAAAGTACATTTTAATTGTTTTTTAACAATTATCTTTTATTGATGATGAAAAGAACATTAAGAATCAAGTAGGCATTACAATTATTTCAAAGTGAAGAAATAAGAACAAAACACATCTGTTCAACTGCTTTATATTTACTTCCATATGTTTTCTGTCTACATACGAAAGAAAACATATTTATGTGAATATAATTGATCAAAGTGACGGAGATCACATTCTACTGAATAAACTAACGTTTATAATACAAAGATGTTAAACTAATTGATAAAATATTCAAATCTTAAGAATATGATACATTCACATTCTTAGTATAGATAAAAATAGAAACATTCAGTAAGATAACTTTACCACAGGCGATCATATATAAAGCTTCATTGTGCGATAGTTCAGATATGGGTTAGATAGATCTGTTGTGTATAAATACGAATAAAATTATGATGAATCTTTGTAATATTCTTAATACCAAATAATGAAAATATACATTAATTTGAATAATAATAATAATAAGGTTTCATTAGCCATTTATCTTTACATTATTTATACAGATCAATTATATACGTAAGTACATTTGTCTAAGAAAGATTGTTTTTGTTTTTGTTATTGCTTTTATTACTTGAGTAATTTAATTTAACTAAGTGTTTTGTTTTCATTTCACTCGACATATCAAGTAGATAATGACCTGAATATATTCTTTGAAAAGTCGAAGCCAAATAGTATGGCTACTCTAATTGCATTTAAAAGGCCATTTATACTTATCAATACTCTTGTAGATATTGTATACAATGCTAATGAACTGTTCTTTTGTAAAGTCATTTACCGGTCGATCAAACAAATCTGTTACTGTCGATCATCTTAGATCACCCGATACAGCAAACATAGAACAAAGAGAAAAAGAAAAGTATACGATGAACATTGTACTAGAATATCCTCGGGTAAAGATAAATTATGCTTATTTAGCTTCGTCAAGGATCAAGGAATATATATATGTTCTGAGAAGATTATTAACATAAAAAGTCTGTATTCTATCACCTATTGTCTGTTTATCAGTAAACTTATACATGTCTAGCCTTGATAGCGATGAACTTAAAGTACTTCTTATAATAATAATTGATTGACAGACTACCATGACTTGTCATCATTATAATGTTCAAAACGACATTTCATCAATCTTTTACTAGCATGTGTCAGCATGTGTGTATACACAGATTTTTTTGTATATAAATACATGAGAACAAAAGATACAATAGGAGGAGATGATCATCTCTTGCTGTTGTTCAGCATTATAGGCAACATCTGGATATGTATATATATATGTACGATTTGTTATTACATCATGATCTTTTTGCTTAATGCATATATGTTATGAGTCCGTTGAGCAGTGAAGCAAGTCATCCATCTACTCGTTCGAATAACAATAAATAACAAAAAACCATCACGATTATCGCTCATCCACGTACACACTTGTATATAATTTCTCCACCCATTTTTCTCTTCTCTGTCTAGTCAAAGAACGACTCGATTGGGAATAAATAAAGAAAAAAAAATAAGAGAGACTTGACCGTATGTACTCGATTACAACATGATCGAAGCTATTGCACATTGTGTCTCGCTCTATTTATAAAACAATAGGAACAGTTGTGTATGTTTCAATGAATGACACAATTTTCAATTATAAAACAAAAAGACTGTTCTATTATAATAGAAATAAAATGTACATATGTCATTACGATAAGCACTGCGTTATCTATCATAGCTGTGCTTCTCCTTTTATTCCGTTTTTCTTTTCGTTTATATTAATCTTATACTATATATTGATTAACTCTTGTCCGTTGAGGAAAGAAAAAAAGAAAGTAAAGATGAAGAACGAGTAGCAGATTTATTTTTGTGTGAAGCGGCTTAGAGAACGATTAATCGAGAGAGAAAATAGAGAAAGAGAGGATGGTGACCTGTGAGATCACGTCATCTCCATCCTGGCTACCGATAGCCGTTTTTTTCCTTCTCTCTTTCTTTTTGTCTCTGTCCTATTTTCTCTTTCTGTCGATTTGGTTTTATTACTATCGTTACCACCACCCAAGCACTTTGCTTTATTTACCCACCCGTCGTGAAAATTAATCATCCCTACTTTTGTCAACATTGATCAAGCAATAAAACAGCTCAACACCTTTCTATATGACGATAACAGGTAGTTAGTAATACTAACATAAATGTCTATTTAAATAGCAATGACTATTATTATTGACTAATCTATTCGATATTTATATGTGCCCTAGATCGACTACATGGAATGAATGATGTTATAGGTCAAAAACCGGTCACTGCTTCGTCACCTGTAATTGATTTTAATGCTAGTGATGAAGACAGGTAAGAATATATAAATTGATATAGATATATTTTCTTCAACTTTATTATATTAGTTGGCTCTTTGAAGAATACAGTCGTGAAGATGCAATTAATGCATTACAAAATCAATCAGATGGTACATTTCTTGTACGTCCCAGTGGAACGATAAAAGGCGATCTTGTTCTTTGTGTTAAGTATGTACGATGAAATTATTTTCCAATATTAAATTTAGATTATTTTTTCTCTTATATAATAGAGAGGGTTCAAAAGTAAGTCATTATATAATCAATGTTACTCAAGAAGTATCTAAGTCGATATATAAAATTGGTGATAAAACATTTTCAAGTATGAAAGAACTTTTAACTTTTTATAAACAACGTTTACTTGATACATCACCACTTACTCGAATTGTAAGTTATTTATTTAAACGAGATGTTTTTACAAAAGAATTTCTATTTTTAGCATCCAAAATCAAGAGTACGATCGAAATATAAATTTGATGGCAAGGTAAATATTTAAATTTCTTTAGGATATTACTAAATATTATTATTATAGGATGATGAAGATTTACCATTTAAAAAAGGACAAATTTTAATGATTATTAGAAAAGTTGAACCATTATGGTGGCTTGCAAGAAATAGCTCTGGAGATAAAGGCATGATTCCTGCTAATTATGTGGAATATATTCGGTAATTGAAAAAAAATTTTCTTTGACGAATAAAATTCCCATTTTTTTTCTGTTTTTAGAGACGACGTCTGATAACTTGTTTGACATATTTTTTTTTGTCTATTAATCTTCATATTTTGTTATCGACAAAAAAAAAAGAGACACAGTGACATTTTATATATGTATAGATGATTTTAATAAATATCATGTAGTGTGCCTTACTTCTATCCATTTGTTTCTTTTCTCTCTCTTCATATTACAAAAGAAATATACATGTACTGATATAAATTAATTTATATTCGAAATTAAAACTTATCTTTTTTTAATATTGAATTTCACTTTTTTCGAAGATAAGATTTGTCTTAACGAAAGATAACGTTTGATCTTTACTATTGTGTATAGATAGAATAACTTTTACTTGATGTTGAGTATGTCTCTTAGAAAAGTTCTAAAGATGAACTTGCCTCCAGGGTGTTTTAGCTCAGCTTAATTACTCAAAAGGTTGGCACTTCATACAAGGACAGACGCCTGAATGTATATATATATATAGAAATTAATAATGCAGAGTATGATGATCTAACATTAATTTATCTAGAAAGCAAATTATTAAGTAGCATATTTTGATTAATACACTAATCTAATTAAATGACAATATAACAGTTGTTGATAAGAACGAACTGAATTAATTAACCATGACATATAAAGATGGACAATAGCATTAGGATAAGGACATATTTAATACGATTGTTTCATGTACATATATCTTTAACTTTATGATTTCATAGTATTATAATTAGTTTTGTAAAACATTGACTTTTTGTCGAAACATTAAACAGATACGATGATCTGATTTATAATCATACGATAGACACTATTATATGTATGTATGCATATATATCTGATTTAGATAATATTGGTTAATGATAGACTGTACATTCGTCATATGTATGATAAGATTTTTCTTTTTTATATTTATTTGAAAGCCCGTACGAAACGAGCCGAGAAAAAATTAGTCTATAAGACTCATTGAATTATTCCGAAACACAGAAATCTTTAGTAAAAGGCGAAAGATTTTCTTGTGATTGTTCCGGAATCAGAGTTAATTCTATATGATCATCTCTCACGTATATAAACTACGAACGAACGCAAAAATTGCACAGTAGACATTTGTATATGTTTATCAATGACTCATAGGAATTCTTTTTTTTTTTTTTTTGCTTTCTTTTATTTTTAATAGGTCGACTGGCAGCGTAAAACATCATGATATACATTAACCTCATTGGAAAAGTCAGGTCGTGAAAAGAATAATAAATTTCGTTGTATAGAATGTTGCCGATCAATTTGCATATTTCTTCTAGCACGTCGATATAAAAGATAGTTCATTCTATCGTTCATTAACATAAAACTTAATTCATATAATTGAATTGAACGATAGATATTCGATGTCCAATATAGAATCACATTTGTACTTATCCAACAAACAATTGTCAATGTACCGAAAATCATTATGTCAAATGGACAAAATCGATAATTCTTCGTCATGAGAATAAAAATAATAAAAAAAAAAAAAATTTTCTATAGTAACGAATTTATTTTATTTCCTGAAGTTTTATTTTTTTCGTTGTAAATATCAGACAAACATGCATAATAAGAATAATATGATCAAACATTGCAAATACTAATGATTAATACAGAAAGAAATATACAAAGAAATAGGAAATAGTCGATCTAAGGTGTAACTAATTGTTGTTTTTCATTTAATTGACCTTGCATTTTAGCAAGCATATCTTGCATTCGACGAAGCTAAAAAATAAAGAATTTTTATAAGAAAAAAATAGTTTAAATATTATTTACTTCATCATCTTTTTCTTTAATTATTTTTTTTTGTTGTTCATCAGAATCATTTTCATTTGTACGTAATTGTTTTCTTGGTTGAAGTTTTTCCGAACGATAATTTTCATAATGAATTTCATGGGTTACTTCTTGTAAGTCTTGCATATGTGTTCTAAATAAAAACCATAAGTAGAAATAAACTAGTGTTTTTTTTTGTGAAAGAAAATTATTTACATAAGCATTGTACGAAGTTTAATAAAATCACAATGATCAGAATTTTCAACTTCAACTAAACCCCATGGATACATTCGACCACGAACTTTTTTTCCTTTAACTTCAAGTGTCTGTGTTGAAGATATAACTGCAAATGGTACAGCATTTTTTAATAGACGATTTTGTTCTTTAAATTCATCATCTTCATCCGAATCACATTCAGGTATTTGATAAACTTGGATATTATGTTCACGAATTTGTTCAAGTATCTAAAATATATTTCTATAGATTATAAGTTATTCCTTTTTATTGCACATACATTTTGTTTCATTTGAACAAGTTCTTCAGGTGTTAATGCATCTGCTTTAGCAATTATTGGTACAATATTAACTTTATGATGTAATGCTTTCATACATTCAATATCTAATAGTTTAAGTCTATTGAAAAATAAAAAATTAATTTGAAAAAAATAGATTTTTTTTGTTATAACAAACCCTCGAGTAAATGGTGAAATAAAATAGAAAAGACAATGAACACGATTATCTGATATATTTCGACGATTAAGACCACTTTCATCATTTAAATAACGTTCAAATTGATTATCAATATAGTTTAATATTGATTTATAACAATCCGTTGTATTTATACTATCGGCATAACCAGGTGTATCAACGACGGTTAAACGTACTTTAACACCACGTTCTTCAATTTCAACAGTTGATGCTTCGATTTTAACTGCTTGACGAATTTTTTCTATTCATTTTCAAAAGAAAAAAATATTATATAGAACATAGAATGAGAAGAAATAAAAACCTTGAGCTGTAAGTATATGCCGTTCGGGATAAAGATCTGTTAAAAATAAACTATTGATTAATGTTGCTTTACCAAGACCACTTTCACCTAAGAAAAAAAAAAAGAACAAATATTAATGGATGTGAATTAAAAAAATGATTGAACATACCAACAACCATAAGAGTGAATTCAAAACCACGTTTAGCAATTTTTCGATGGACTTGATTGGGTAAATTAGCGAAGCCAACAAAGCTTGCTGTTGTCTCTGAACTTGAAAATTGAGCACCCTATTTAAAATACATTTCAAAAATTCTTCAATTGTTATTAATATAATTCGTCTTCATAAACTGAGATTCTATAGGACACTAAATGCTATATAGAAAGACGGTATTAACTCAAGAAAAAAGACAGATGACCTCGTATTATTTCAAGATTTTTTCTCTGTCATAAATACGACCTTCACAATAAGCAATGTTTTACTAAGTAAAATCCCTTGATTGATTTTAATAAACTTACATTCGTATCTTTTTGTTGCGATCGAGTAACAGCCGTTGTAGTCATTCTCCAGTGTTACAATTCTCTGAAATGATACAATCAATCAATCAATCAATCGATTATTGTTTGTTTGCATATTTGTAGTCAATCCAATGAATAACTAAATTTTTTATTTTTAAATAAAAACCTAAAAAAATAAAAATAAAAATTATTTGATTGAATTTTTATTATTTTTCTAATAAAATTTTTTTTCCTTTTATTTCATTGGTTTATTTTTTCACCAATGAAAAGATTCTATTCAAGTGCATCATATATGTCAACAAAACATATCTTAATGGCACTAGTAGATCAACTGACTGGATTTACTAATTATAGACATTTACATTCTAAATGTTTTTCTTTCACTCTTGGAGATAACAAACAAAGATAATTAATAGGTAAATAATACTAAAATATCTATATTTTTCACAAAAAAAGATTTTCTAAAATTTTTCTATAAAAAAAATAATGAGAGCGCCATTTATTCATTATCTATTCTAGTTTAGTTCTATCATGCAACAACAACGTCGACGACCACCTGTTTCAGGTTCACCAGTAGCTACAAATAATAATAATTCTAATCGACCTATACGTCAAATAAATCGAGGGTAAAAAATTTTAATCAATTTAATACGTAATTTAGGAGAGATTAAATTAAATAGAAAAATTTCTGAATTTAGTAAAAGATAATCGTCTTATATTTGATGAAATAAATGATGTTGAAACAATTCTTTTTTTCAGTATGGCAATGTCAGTGAGTCAATGTTCTGGTTGTTCTCAACCAATGTATAATCCAATGTTATCAAATGTCCTTGATCGTCTATGGCATCCTGATTGTGTACGATGTTTTACATGTCGATGTATACTTAATGAACAATGTTATTCACGTGAAGGAAAACTTTATTGTAAAGATGATTTTATTAAGTATGCAAAGAAAAAGAATTTTCTTTTTTTTTTATTAATAAAAGAAAATTTTTTTATTTTAGAAAATATATTCATCGTTGTTTTTCTTGTCAAAATTTAATTCAATCACATGAATTAATACGACGTGTTCGAGCAGGTCGAATTTATCATGCGGATTGTTTTAATTGTATAAAATGTAAACGAATATTACAAGATGATGATATAGCATCATTAATGCCATCCGATGGCTCAACTTTGAATGATATGGATTATATATGTCAAGGATGTATAAATCCAACAAATAAATTAGTGAAATCTTCTGTTGGAATAATTTCATCATCGAATGTAGACGAAGGTTTAAGATAAAAGAATTTTTTAATTATTTTTAAACTTATTTTTCTTTATTAGATGAAACAACGGATAGTGAAATTTCTAATACAACCCATAGAAGAATACCAACAATCGATAGAACAGTATCAGGAACAGTAAATACCGATGAATTACCGAATACTTCTTTACAATCACCATCATCAAATACATCTGTTCTTCCATCTATTGAACAGCAATTATCTTTTCAATCGACTACATCAGCTGTGGATAGTCAAGTCAATGTACCACAACCAATGCAAGTTGATAAACTTTCGACAGGTAAATTATTTTTATTATCTATTTAAATATATTCTATATCATTAAATTTATCTATTGTAGCTGCACGAGAAACTGTTGAAGAAACAAAAACACCAACGGCAAAACCACTTGGTCGACCACCGAAAACTCGTCAAAATAGTAGTACTAATAGTAATAAACGAACGACAGCTAAATCAAAACCAGCAGCATCTCGTCAGAAACAAACAACTACGAATGAAAAAAAACGTCGTTCACCAACAACAAGATCGAAAGCATCATCAGCTGCTTCAACAACTGTACAAACACGATCAAGTAATCGTCGTAATACAAAAACATCACGTTATCGTAAACGAAATTTTTCAAGTGGTACTGATGAAGATGAATCAGAAGATGAAGACGATGATGATGATGAAGAAGAAGATACAAATTTCACTGAAGAGGTATTTCTAGATTTTATTTTAAAGTACTTAAAAATATCATTATTTATTATAGGATGATGTACAAGATGATGAAAGAGAAAGTAATCGTTCACCTGCAACTAAAACGAAATCATCTAAAAATGCTAACGAAAAGAAAAATGAAGTTGATTCTGCATCAAAGATAGTTCCACCACCACTACCATCAACAACAACATTAGCTCCAACACAACCCATACTATCGGAGCCATTATCATTATTGAGTGGATTAGCATCTAATCCTACATCTGTTTCATCTATTATAAAATCTGATATTCCTGCAAGTTTTATGCCTCCAAATTTTAATCCCGCTTTTCCTACACCACAACAATTTCTACCACCAAATCATCCATTTCCGCCTGGTTTTTCTTTGCAACCGAGATTTCCACCACCGCCACCGCCATCATCACAATTGGGTGTAACTCAACCACAACCTGCACCTATATCTGATACACATCGTTCATCTTATTCGACTAGTGTATCAGAAACAGACTCACTTGATCGTCCATCAAGTCCTTCACAAACAGATTCATCGACAAATGCTGAATCAGGAATAGGAGCACGTCAAACTACAGCACCTCAGAAAGTATCTGCTCTTTCTTCACTACTCGAATTTGGTACATTACCACCATCAAATGTTGGTGATATAGGTCCATCTGGCAAATCTACAAATCCTTTTCCATTTCCATTCGTTACACCTGGCCCAGGTGTTCCATTTTCACCTCAAGCAGCAGCTGGTATGACTTCTTATTTTCGACCACCAATGTTTGGTATTCCACCATCAACAACATCGCTTGATGTAACTCCGCAAACATCTACAACAACAACAGCACCATCTCAATCAGTATCAGAATCACTGTCAACTCAACCTAAGAAGAAAGCAACTAAGAAAAGAAAAGCAAGTGAAGTTATGCCAGAAAATATACTTGATGAATCATCATCTCCTAAAAAGAAAGCGCGTAAAACTAATCCACGTGGTAAAGGAAAAGTAAAAAAGAATGAAACGGATGGTGAAAATGATATTGCGGATGATAATGTTTCGCCATTACCATCACAAGCAAAGAAAAAGAAAAAGAAAGCTAAAAAAGATGATGACAAAGATGACATAGCTGCAAATGACAGTGAAGACTTAAAAGTTACGAATGGAATGGCAAGTAACGCTTCACACAATCTTCTTACTCAAATGGGTTTAATAAATCCTCCGTTCATACCACCAACTCCATCGCAATCGTCTTCCTCAGCCAATGGTACACCTTCTACACCTATTGCTCAACAACAACAACAACAACAAGCTCAAATAGCAGCTATGTATAATATGACACCACATTTTGGTGCTTATAATACATTTCCAGGTGCATTTAATCCAGCATTTCCTGGTGCTGCTGCGTATCCTGGTGGTTATCCACCTCCATATGGGTTCCATCCAGCATTTACTACTCCACCTACTGGACAACCATTTCCATTTATACCACCAACATCTACTGCATCATCAATTAATAAGTATGTTTTTCATCTTTCTTACACATTCATCTAAATATTATTGTCTATTTTAGTACATCATTACCAATTTCGACAACAGTATCACCATCGACAGGTGATAAACCAACACCTATTGTTGTACCTGAAACAAGACCATCGAAATCAAAATCGAAAAGTAAAAACAATACGGATGGAGAAAAGAAAAAACCTGCTGCTCCTCGATCAAATAAGAAAAAATCAGCATCTGTTACTGCTCCAGTAACAACTAGTGACAGTGATGATGTTGCAGCTGCTGCAACAACAGTACCATCGACTGAAATAACAGAAACAGCTACTACAATATCGGAATCAACACCTACAATTCCTCCGCCGGCTTCTAAACGACGAGTTAGTGGTACAGAAAGTGAAGATTTTGATGAACAAAATGATGAACAACAACAACAATCATCACAAACAACAAATGGTAAATCTGGTAATGAATCAGATGGTTCAGGAGGAGCTGCTGATCGTAGTTCGAGTAACACTCAGTCATCATCCACAATACCAGAGAAAAAAGGTGGACGTACAACAATCAAACCACAACAATTAGACGTAAATTTATTTTATTTCTATATGTCGTCTTTTTAATATATTTATCTTTGATTTAGATTTTAAATAAATCATTTGATTCATGTCCTAAACCAAATAAAACTCAACGCGAACAATTAGCTGCTGATACTGGTCTTAATATACGTGTTATTCAAGTAAATAGTTTTCTTCTTTTTTTATTATTGAACTTAATTATGAATTTGTTTTTTTGTTAAGGTTTGGTTTCAAAATAAACGATCGAAAGAACGAAAAGGAAAAGCATCAAAAGAAAAAGATGCACCTTTAGATGATGATGACGCAGGGGAAGATTCTCCACCATCATCACCACAACCACCAGTCTCAGTACCTACATCTGCACCAGAATCTACTGTTGAATCAACACCGATCATTACTACTACTACAACTACTACTAGTGAAACGGAAAGTCAATAAATTCTTCTAGATATAAATACGTTGCGTTAAAAATCGAAAAAAAATGAACATAGAAATGTGTTTCATATTGTAGATTTTACTTCTCATTTTTGTGCAATTTCTGTTTTGTCTCTCTCTCTCATTTTGCTGATATTGTGTATCAATCGCGAGCATCTCTTTTCTTCTCATATTATCCAAATATGACTCTTATAAATGTTGTTCGTATGTGTAATAGACTGATACTTGTACTTACATCATTACATATATCCAAAATCTTTTTGCGTTTTAGTATAGAAGAAGAAAAAAAGAAAGTACAATCATAATTTAAAAGAAAAAGAAAACTATAATTATTTAGTCAATTCGATCTGATATCGTATTCATCATTTTTTCACTTGAGTATGTGTATTTTTTTTGTTGTTGTTGTTGTTTTAATCTCTTTACCCCTTTTAACTGATTTTGTATAATCAAATATTGTCGTTTGTATAAAACAAAATTTTATATGTGTTCGTGTGCCTTTTTTTTTGTCAATTTTATTATATAACAATCTAATCAAGTTCTCTATTAATTTGATTTTAATAATCAATGTCTTATTTGTTCATTGTCGTGATCATGTGAATCCAGTAATGGATCATCGTTGATAAATACACTTGCTCGCCGTTTTGAAGCACTTACATTGAATATAGCAAAACGGAAATATCGTCGCATTTCTTCACGAATAGAAATCTAAAGAAAGATATTTAAATTCGTTGAAAATAAAAAAATCTAGTTCTTACTTGTCCTCCTTTTCGATTTCGTATTTTAATACTAAATTCAATAGCAGCAACTACCATTGAAAGTACTAATCCAACAGCAAGCATAACAAATATACCACCAATATTAGCAAAACCTAATTCAGCTGCTATATCTTTTCGTTTATCTTCTTGATCACATTTTAAGTTAGCTGCTTCTTTCCACCATTTATTATAATATTTTTGTATAACACCTTCATCTTGTAATTTAAGAATTGTATCACTCAATATATCACGATAAGGAGAATCTTAGAATAAATAAAAATATAGTTTATAAGACTTTTTTTATAGTCTATTCTTACTTTGTGGTACACCAAAACCATAACCTTTCGAATCTAATAAACCACCAATTGATGTTAAATCACAATTTCTCATTATATTATATTCACTAGTAGTCGATCTATGTTAATAAGTAAGAAAAATGATGAATAAGAAATAGAAAATTCGATAAAAAATATACTCCATAAGAAAAGCATAATTGCCCTCTAATACTTTATTAATGCCTTGGGTACTGGAATTCGTACAAACTGTTGCTTGATTAATGGACATATAATTCCACATTCGTTCGTGTGTCGGTATTTTTGATTCCTAATAAAGCAAAAAAAAAAAGAAAGAATGTTAATTTCCAAATATCAAAAGTGAATTCTATATCACTAAGAAATGTAATTAATCTCGATGAAAGTAATACATTCATTTCAATACCAATACCAATCATCGATTAAATGGTTATCATATATATATGAGTGGAATGTAGAATATGTCAAGGTTATTATAGATACAACGGGTGGGCCATAAAGAATTACACTACATTGTTGTCGGTATAAGTCCGTTAGTTTGAATCCAATCGAGCCGATTTTTTCCTCATCAGAATCGCCATTCAATTCTCTACAAAACCATGTGTAAAAGATTGTTATAAACTAGAAAACGGCTCAGGCGTAGAACAAATAAAAAAGGTGCTAAAATCTTCAACTTTCAAGCTCGAAATTTATGAATCTTTAGGGTATGTTTCAACAATTTATACGCAGGCTTGAGTTACGGGAGACACAGTTTCTGGTATTTTCAGATATGCTCTTTCCGATTTCCTTGAAAAAACTTTCGTTGAAAGTGGTATTCGTCTATGAAATCGATATTTTCCGAAAACTACCCCAAAACACCTTAGCTTGGCTTTTCTTGGAGGGAATCTACCACAAACAAAACTTTGTATGACTCTAGCGATTGTACAATGATGTAGTCGAGTATGTTAGCTTTCAAAGAAAAACAAATCCTCAAAAAAAACGCTTTTTTATTGAATGGCATGCGTTTTCATGCCAATATTAAAAACATGAAATGGAAGTAGAATTTTTTCAAAAAAAAAGAAAAAATTGATCCTGAAGTTTTATACTCATTTTTCGACCAAAAACTTTTCAAAGACATGAAACTTGTCCAGAATTTGATGCTCTTTAAGATGGTCAACTTAGTTTCTTCGTAGCTCCTCACGTGAAAAGCAAATTTTAGAAAAACTGGGTTTTGTGCTTGAAAGTTGAAGATTTTGGAACCTTGTTTTCTTCGTTCTAGAACTGAGACGTCTTCTAGTTTATAAAAATCTTTTGCATGTGATTTTGTAGAGAATTGAATGGCGATTCTAACGGGAAAAAAATTGGTCCGATCGGATTCAAACTGGCGGACTTATAGTGACAACAAAATAGTGTAATTCTTTATGGCCCACCCGTTACATACTCGGAAAAAATTTTCTGTTGAACCACCTCGTTGAACTCCATAAGCAATTTTAGTTTGTCCTGCAAGATCTTCAGCATTTTCAATTGGCGTTTGCATACGTTGTACAGTCAAAAAAGCCGCTGAAAAGAAATATTATCAAATAGAATCTTCAATGAAAACGATTTCTTTCTAACCTAAATTAGCTGTATATGATGAAACAAGAATTAGTGTAAAAAATGCCCATAAACAACTCAACATACGAGTTGATATTGCTGTTGGATTTAAATCAGTTCCTATAGATACAACAGAAAAAAATATTATAATATACAAAAAAAAGAAACTAACCTTGTTGCATAATATTTCCAATAAGAAACCAAAGTGAATTAAAAAACGTAAATTGGTTTTCTAATTCATCATGACTTCTTTTACATGGATGTGGATTACGCCATTCATACGGAGATAACCTCGCAACCAGATATAGAGCAAAACTGACAGCTGATATAAATAGAATAACATATATATATATATATATATATAGATTAATATTAAATTTAACAAACCAAAGTAAGCAGCAATCATATAAAGCCATACATCAATACTTAATGGTTGAAAAAACCCAAATAATTTTGGTTTAACACGTTGTGCTTTTTTAAAAAGAATATTTATTCCGAGTGTTAAAAATGGTTTAGTAAAATCAATTGCCTTGAATATTTTCATTGAAATACTTAATCTATAGAAGAAAAAAACATACTTGTTCACGTTGAAATGTAATTGTTAAACCAGCTAAACCTAAATCTGCTCTCTAGAAAAGAAAGATTATCCAATAATTTAAAAGGTAAAATAGAAAATTATCACATACACGATTAACTAATTCACCAATAATACCATTCCATTCTCCTTGTTCATTCTTCTTTCCAAATGTTGCATCTTTAACAACTTCAATTTGATATGAAAAATTAAGTCTTTCAGATAAATCAATTAAAATATCAATACAAAAACCAGCAAATTTCTGTGTAGAATTAGTACCATTAGGATCTAAAATGATTTGAATTTCATTAAAAGTCCATTTTTTTTAAAACTCTTACTCAACATGACATACGGTGGTTCCTATTAAATAAATCTCAAATATTTGTTTTTTCGAAGGAACAAATGTAACTTACAAGAACTGTTGTTACTTTTATTGTTTGATTCTGTATTTCTTGTTTTCTTGTTTCATAATCTTTTGTAAAATTTCTTTGAATTTCTAATCGATCTGGTACATTTGCTGACCAATTTCCATTCTATATAAACGAAAAAAAACGGGTTTAATTGTAAAAAAAAATTTTTCCATATACTTTAAAAACACCATTGGCAGCTAAATCAACAACTTCAAATGATACATCTGTTCGTAAACCATTTTCATCAAATTTTATCTTTCTCGTTATACCATTTGCTTCAAACTTAAAAAGAAAAAGGTAATTGAATCTAAAGAGCTCTTGTTCACGTATGTTATACCTTTTTTAAAAAAAGAGAAAATGCTGAACCATGTTTCCATGTCTTCTGTGCATCACATGTTAATGATGTTATATTAAATGGATGTTGTTCAACAAATTTACTAAGTGCTCGTGCAAAGAAATAAACTGAGTCATAGATAAGCGCAGCTGATGCCTATTATTAAAACAAAAAAAACGTTTTCTTTGATAATAATATAGAAATTTTAACCCTTAATGAACGTTCATTAGGAACTAGTGGAGCATTAATATCAAAATTATTAGTATTAGTATCAAAAAATTCATCAACAGCTGGATCATCACGACCAAAAAATTGTAAACCAGTTATATTAACTAATGTATATAAAATTTTACTCCATTTAACAACCGAAATGTCCTAAATTAAATAATTGAATAAGAAAAGAATGGTATTTAAATTATATTTACCAATGATGTTAATACAAAATCATAATAAGGTCCTACTAATCCAACAACTTTTGCCTTAAATTAAAAAAAATATTTCTTTATACATTTCAATTTGAAATAATTGTTTTACATATTTGAAAAAATCATCAAGATTATCAGTTGATACATCAACTAAAAATTTTGAAACTCCTGCTTCTTGTAATTGTTTCAATAGAGGAGTCCAAGTATTAACTCCTGGTCGACCTCGTAATTGTCTTACAGTTACTTTCATTTGTGTACTATCTGAAGTTAATTTAAGTAAATCTTGAAGATAAAGTAAATCTAGAATAAATAAATTTAGAATTTTTTGTCTTTGCATTTTAGTATTTTGATCTACTTTCTGCATGTTCAGTTATAATAGCAATTTCTTCCCATTCTTGAAATTTAATAAGATCACTAAATGCTTGACTTGTTGCTGTATAATGTGGATAAACATTAATTGTATAATATTCAACTTTGGTTTGTGGATCAGGTGATGACAGAAATAATGGAATATGTAACTGACGTGTCAAGGAACTTATAAATTCAATTGCAGGATTTAATCGACCAGTAAATAGAGCAGCAATACCTTTTTGTAATTGCGAACAAACTGAATGAAAAGAAATATTTTTTTTTTGTCAAATGCGATATATTAATAATAAATAAAGATTTTTACCCATTTTATACGCAGAAAAGCTATCATGTGGATCAACCATATCAATATTAGCAACGACAATTCTTGATCGTTGAAATATTTGTGATTGAGTATTAATTTTAGCAACAGCATATTCAAATGCTTGACGAGATAATGTATCTCCTTTACCAAATATAGCTCCTATGAACAATTAGTTAATTTGGTTTGTATTATTAATAGAAAGAGATAAAACAAATCTATGAGATTTAGCTTGTCTACTATGTAAAAACGTTAGGATTAACTACATGAAGTTTACCATACAAGTAAATTCAAATCTATTGTATTCCTGATTAATAATTAATGTTTGACAAAGGTCTATGCCAATACATATTTAATCTTAGCTCAAAAGGCATGCAATGATCTAGATATACATACCAATACGAATATCAGGTGGTAATTCAAAACTATTGATTAAACAAAAATCGAAGAAGATGATGATGAAAATAGATAATTTGATCATTGTTCAAGTATATAGTTAACCCTATAAAATAATTTTTTTTTCAAAGATAGTGCTTGCTTTACTCTTAAATGTCATTGGTGATGAAAAGAAGGAAAATTATCTATATTCTGTCAGCAAAAAATTTCTCTGTCTCTTCCTCGTTCTCTCTCTCTCTCTCGCTTTCTTAATGTCTCATCGTGCAGAGCCATGAAATATGTCCACACCACTTAACATCGTTAGAAAAAAAGAAAACCTTCTTCTTTCTTGCCTCAATATCACTTCGATCTGTTTACACTTCTCTACACAATCGAGATATTTATATAAATGCATCGACAGGATTTCGGTATAAAAAAAAAACGGGAACGAGAGAGAGAGAAAAGACAAAAAAATATATCCTGCTTGTTATTTGATTGAGACTCAATGTTATACACGCACACACTCATCTAATAAATTAGTGGGTGATCAATTATTTAGCAAAAGAACATTGCATATCGTTTCTGTTCTTCTTTCTTTTTATAAACAAACAACAATTATCTATATGTTATGTATTATATGCATGAAATCTAGATCGATCGAGCGTTATCTTGTTGATTGACACATTTTTTTCACTAGTCGAATATCTATTAGATGTTTCTCTTTCAAATAATTGATCTTATAATGATGAATATTTATTTCGATTGACTAAACACCGTTGGAAGTCTCTTAACCACCTACTATGAATTCATCTATATTCTTTTGAAATAAAAATTAGTTTCATTGAAGGACAATAATAAAAGAAAAACTAAGATCGATCGTTTTTGTTAGTTATTCTTTAATTGAAGTATGTTCATCAAATGCAAATGACAACCATATGTAAATGTCATGATCTATTTTGTCAGCTGAAAATGATTGATAAAGAATCTTTACTTAACATACTATATGTCAATATATATATATACAAATATATTTGTGTCTTTTTTTTATAAGTTCTCAATCAATTATATATAAAAATGTCAACAGTAATATTTGTTTTATTGTCATAATATTTATTATTATGATAAGTTGACAAATTTTTTAAGAATTTCATATGAAATAGTTATATTTTTTTATAAGAAAAAAAAATATGATCCTAGACGATTATATATATTGTCATTCTGATGTTTTAATATGTCGTGATAGTATTTTATGCTATTGTAAACGAGACAAAAACTTAGTTTTCCGATCATTATTAATTATGCATGACATAGTTAAATATGATCGTCAGAAAATGTATACCAAAACGATAAAGCTAAGAATTTTGAATACCGGAAATTGCAAGACAACGTCAATATCTGGTACTGTTGAAGGTTGTTTATAGTTGATACATCATCATTTGCAACACATATTTTCAACACGTGTTTATTAAAAGTAATTATTATTAGAATGTAATGAAAAAATGTTTTCTAAGTGATACCATCTTTGATAATCGTCTTTTTATAGTAATTAATAAGGTGAGAAAAGGAAATGTAAGAGCTAGTATCAATTCAAATTGTTCAGTTATATTGATTTCCGATATATTTTTATATGAAATCTTTTGTTATTCATATAAAAGTTATATATTTATTGATAAATAAATGATTAATTCTTACTCTATCGTATAATTATATGGCATTATTAATCAAACTAGATAACACTCAAGTTTTACTCAAGCGCAAAATAATCTCGATAAAAATATTCATTGAATATTTAAGAATACTGAACGATTTTTAGTTGTTGTTGTCAAAATAGTTTACATGCAATTCTCATAAATAATTACAGACTGTCCCAAAAGTCCATGAAGAAAGTAAATTCTTCTAATGTCACTATTTATCAAGCGTCATCAACGAAACTTACTTTTTTTCAATGATAGGTACAATTGTGAAGTTTTGATTCATACGGATAGACTTCACAAATATTGTTCATAGTTATTATTTTCGACTGAAATATAAAAATCAGTCATTTTTTTATGCCAAAACAAGCACTATCTAATGACGCTTTGTTAATGCTTCGATATCGACAAAATCTTACGGTACTGTTTTCTTGCATTTATTTTCGTATATCACCACAATAAGAAGCCTAATGGCGTCAAGTCCGGTGACTAGGAAGCTTATTAAATAGCATTGTTTTCACGCAATCACTGATGAACTGAAAGAAGAAAAGTCAATCATATGAACTCTAGAATTGACGCTTTTAGACTTCTTTCTATAGTGACATATTCAAATAAATATATAAAATGAAAGCGCAAGATTTTATCGATATCTGATTAAAAATTTCACAATCATACCTATCATTGAAAAAAATTAGTCGATAAAGCTTAATAAATAGTGGTCTTAAAAGAATTTATTTTTCTCATGAACTTTTGGAACATCTTGTATATTGATTGTTCGCCTACCAAGTTATCTGAATCATTATCGATTATCAGCTGTTATGGCAGCTGTTGTAGAAAGAAAATAGTAATAAATGTTCATTCTTATAATTATTTCTAATACTGAGAAAAAATGATTTGTAAACGACTTAAAACTTCCATTGAACCTTAGAAAATAAATAGTCAACAAAAGTTTGACAATTGATCGTTTACATTTTAAGGATAGAATACAACTGAAATGAATAACTGAGATTATATATTATAAATAGAATGGACGATAACTCTATATACAGATCTGCAACTGACACCCGTCCTCGGATACATAGTATATATGATATTTGCTATAAGTTTCTTAGAAATTTAACGATGAGAATATATAAAAACAGCAAGTACTTAAAGATATATTGAACGTAATTCAGACGATTACTTCTTGACATGAGTGAACATTAGATATACGCAAGATACATACTGACGAATATTTGCAATTTCTCATGTAATATTCTTTTCGAAGTTACAAATAAATAAAACTCATGTTCTTTGTATAATATCCCTATGGTATAACTGTAGTAATCTGCCCTACAGCAGTACCATCGCATTCAGACATGTACTATAAATGACAAATGTATAACTAAATATTATTTAATTATTTTTTAACATAACATTTGAATAATCATATATCAAATTATAAATGACAGATAGAAAAACAAATATTATTTTATTATAGCTCTAATTTTATTAGAAAATGATCATTCATCAAAGAATCGATAATTAATGAGAATAAAAAATATTATTCTATTATTTTTCAACAACAAATCTTATTGAATTTTTTTGTTTCTTTGAGTCCCATTCATATTATTAATCAAATACGATAGCTATTCCCAGAATATTGCTTATTTCGTAGTTTACAACTTTATTGGTTAATATTTTGAGAAGAAAAACTTTAGGGACATCATTTCTGTATAAAAACTATTTCAGAATAGTGGGCAAAAGTACGCTGCTTTTAATTGTAGTGGTCATTCTAGAACCAATCAGAAAATATAATGAATGTTAATAATAGTTCATTATTTCTAATTAATCTTTAGCAATTATTCAATTTCAAAGTATATCATGTATATAACAAAAACTGATAGTGATGTGTAGCCTTGATCAATAAACGTACTAATTGATAATTCATTGGATAATGACAACGAATACGAAAACGTGTCATAGAATAGATATCGATAGATAATAACGAAAATTTTTGTATGATTATTTGAGAATGGAATTTCGATATCGGTTAAAAAAGAAAGAAAATAAAAACGAAGAAAATGAAAGTCAAAGTCAACCATTTATTGAAACGAACTCAACAGTTGATATTCCTATTTTTTCATCCTCATCTGAAAATGAAATTGTAAATAGTAAATCATCATCATCATTAACAATACCATCGACACCGAAAAAAAGCAATTGGAGAAAAGATAAAGTCAATATATGTCTTTTAATATTTCTTTATTTACTACAAGGTATTCCACTTGGTTTAGCTGCAGCATTACCTTTAATTATTCAAACATATGGTGCTAATTGGTCCCAACAAGCAACATTTTCATTTGCGTTTTGGCCATTTAGTCTTAAACTTCTTTGGGCACCACTTGTCGATTCAATTTATTTTAAAAAATTCGGTCGAAGAAAATCATGGTTAATACCAGTTCAATTACTTATTGGACTTGTTATGATTATATTTTCATTTTATATTACTAATATATTAAATTTAATAAAAACAACACCAAATAGTCAATTACGTAACTATTAAAATAATATCCATTTCTATTCAAATACATTTTTTTGTATATGTTTAGCTGTTTATTTGTTGACATCGATATTTTTTGGTTTATCATTTCTTGCTGCTACACAAGATATTGCTGTTGATGGTTGGGCACTTTCAATGCTTTCAAGGTAGATCAGGTGTACATATATTTTAATTAGAAAATTTTTTTTGATGATAGAGAAAATGTTGGTTGGGCAAGTACATGCAATTCTGTTGGACAAACAGCTGGAATCTGTATAGGTAGAGTTGTTTTCCTTGGACTTGAATCAAAAGATTTTGCAAATAATTATATACGAAAACCATTAAATTTGCAAGAACAATCAACTGGATTAGTTACCATACCTCGTAAAATAATATATATAAAATTCTTTGAAAGATTAAAAATTGTATTTTCATAGATTTTTTTCTTTTCTGGGGAATATCTTTTATAATATCAACAACATTAATTGCTTTTTTCAAACATGAAATTGATAAAAGTTCTGATTCAGATGAACAATATTTTGGCCTTATGGAAACATATAAAGTTCTTATAAAAGTTTTTCGTTTATCAGCAGTTCGACGTACAGCACTTATTTTATTAACACTTAAAGTATGATATAAATCTATCGAAAATTTGTTTTGATTATATCTTGTTTTTTGTCTAGATAGGTTTTGTTGCAACAGATGCAATGACTGGATTAGAGTTAACTGAACGTGGTGTTACAAAAGATGCTATAGCTTTTTTATCAATACCATTGATGCCATTACAAATTATTTTACCATTCTTTATAGCTAAATATACAACTGGACCAAAACCATTAAATATTCTCATTATATCTTATCCATTTCGGTAAATAATTCTTAATAAATAATTATTATGATTATTTTTCTTTATAGACTATTATTTGGTATAGTACTAGCTGTATTTGTTTATTATACACCACCATTTCAAAATACTGATAAATCATTTCCTTGGTATTATTATTTAATCGCTATTATTGTATATAGTATACATCAAATAGCAGTCTACAATATGTTTGTTTCTCTAATGGCTTTTTTTGCTAAAATTAGTGATCCAAAAATCGGTGGAACATATATGACATTGCTTAATACATTAGCAAATTTTGGTAAAATTTATATCATTAACAAAATTAGACATGATTTCTATCGATTTTTTTTCCGCAGGTAATCATTGGATTTCGACAGCTGCTCTTTATGCAGGTGATTATTTAACATGGAAAACATGTTCAATAGGTAATAAACGATGTGGAACAAAAATCGCAGAAAAAGAATGTACAAGGTTAGAAGGTGTTTGTGAACCATATATTGATTCGTATTACGTTGAAGTAGCTTTATGTACTATATTTGGAATTTTTTGGCTTATATGGCAATATAAAACATTAATGCATTTACAAAGTTTACCACTTAGTGCATGGTTAGTACGAATGCATCGTCGAAAAAGTAAAATGATTGAAGATAATGAGAATGCAACGGCAACAACAATGATTACTACATAATATTTATTACAAAATAATAAAGTAGAAAATCTCATTAATACAATGATTTCAATATTTCTCATGTTGAGATTTACAAGAATGATTAGAAATGATTAGAATTAAAGAATTATTGTTTGTTATTTAATATGGTGTTTTATTTTTTAATTTTGTTTTCTTTTTGTGTATTGTTATATTATTTTAGTAGATATTTGCATTCCTTTATGTATATGAGTTAATTGTTACCTTTTGGTACAAATGAAATTTTAACTAAATTTTACTATTAGTTTCTATCCTGTTGAATAATTTTTGAACGTTCTATTGCTATGTAAAATTATGGTACTCTAAACCTTTAAGTTGCTGAGTTATAACGTTTATATACTATCAAAAAATCGTATTCTATATGGAGATATACCAAGGAAAAGATATTTTCTGAATAATCTTAGTTAATATATGATAAAGTGTTGGAAAATTTTTGTTATGTAAAATAGATATAAAATGTATTACTCAGAATTAGTTTAAGCCTACTTTCAGGTTTTCATCTCAACTGTATCAAAAAGTTACGATTCATTCATATATATATATATATTTATAAATATATCGATAATAATGGCAACGGATCACTCTTATTTTTTTTTCTATAAGGAAATATATGATCTATGCGACTACATATATCAGCCACTTTAATAAATAAGAGAATAGATGTCAGTGTATATTTTGATCAAAGTTTGATTGGTAATCATAAAATTAATTCTTTGTCGAGAAAATCTTCTGGACTTTAAACAAACCATTATAGCATATCGAAGGATAAATTGATTTTATTTTTATTTCTATTTTTAGTATTTTACTTCGAGTATACAAAAATAATTTGACTCTGTTTGCTTCTTCTTCCAAAAAATAAAAAGATGACGCAATGTTTAACAGCAATATTAGCAATACTATGAAGTAATTTTGCGTGAGCTATTTACGTAGTTTATCACTAAAATTCTGTAGTGTAGCCTAAAATATCCTTGCATGCTATGCGCTCTTATAATCTTTCATAATAACAGATTTAAATTGACGTGTGTATATATATAACAATATTATTTCAGATCTATCACAACGATTCTTGCTCCTCGGTTTTCAATATTTGGGTATCAACTCCATCGTATTCAAACTCGATCATTTTCGATTTCATTAACAGTATGTCAAATATTTATATTGTTTTTTGAGAAACTATTTTATTTTATTAGCTTAATAAATCTTGGCAAAAAATTCAACAAAAATACATGGCTGAACCAGAAAAAAAATCAACACTTACAGAAGTATGAAATAAATATATAAAAATAATCGAATATTTTATTGAATTCCTTTAGTTAAATCCACCACCAGAATATATCAATCATCGTATTAAAATCTGGGAAGAATTAAAAACTAAATATCAAAATCATGTTGCATCACAACCACAAGTTGATATTACAATAACTTTACCTGATGGAAAAGCATTACCTGGTAAATCTTGGAAAACAACACCAAATGACATTGCTATGGGCATTAGGTAAGTTTATTTAAATTATTACTGCTCATATATTTCTTTTTAAAAAAAATATTTAGTCAAGGATTAGCAGCTGCAACTGTTATTGCAAAAGTTAATGATGAATTATGGGATCTTGATCGACCATTTGAAAAAGATTCAACATTACAATTAATTAAATTTGATGATGAACAAGGAAAACAAGTATTTTGGCATTCAACAGCTCATATTATGGGTGAAGCAATGGAATTATGTTATGGCGGTTGTTTATGTTATGGACCACCCATTGAACAAGGTTTCTATTATGATATGTATCTTGAAAATCGGTAAGAGAAAATATTTTTTTGTTGTTTTACATTAATACAAAAATTTTCCTATTTAATCTAATAATAAAATAGAACGGTATCAGGTCTTGATTATGAACAAATCGAAAAGACAATGAAACGAATTACTAAAGAAGAACAACCATTTGAACGATTAGAAATTTCCAAAGAAGATCTATTACGTTTATTTGGAGTAAGAAATCAATATTAATAATTCTTCTTTTTCATAACAGGCATTTTTTATTAGTATAATCCATTTAAAGTTCGTATTCTTAATGAAAAAGTTCATACACCTACAACAACTGTTTATCGGTAAAATATAAATAAATTTCAAAAAGTATAATATTCTTATTTGAAATATTTAGATGTGGTCCATTAATTGATCTTTGCCGTGGTCCACATATTCGTCATACAGGAAAAGTTAAAGCTTTTGCAGTTACAAAAGTAGGAAAGGAAAATTGTTTTTTTCTCTTAAAAAGTTTTTATCATATAGAATTCATCAACATATTGGGAAGGTGATCAAACACGTGAAACCTTACAACGGATATATGGAATTTCATTTCCCGATGCAAAACAACTTAAAGAATGGAAATTTATTCAAGAAGAAGCAGCAAAACGAAATCATCGAAAAATTGGTGTCGAACAAGAACTCTTCTTCTTTCATGAAATGAGTCCTGGTTCATGTTTCTTTTATCCCAAAGGAGCACTTATTTATAATAAACTTATTGAATTTATCCGAGTATGTTTAAATTACTATATGTTAATTTAAGACAATTTTCTTTTATTAGGGTGAATATCGTAAACGTGGTTATCAAGAAGTTATTTCACCAAATATGTACAATTCAAAATTATGGAAAACATCTGGACATTGGGATCATTATTCAGTAAAGTCAAAATTTATTTTTCCTTCTCTTGTATATTTCATTTTTAATTAGGACGATATGTTTAAAATCGAAATTGAAAAGGAAACTTTTGCACTTAAACCAATGAATTGTCCAGGACATTGGTAAAGAAAGAAAAATTTCCTTGTAAAAATACATAAATTTATTTATTTTTATTAGTCTTATGTTTTCATCACGTCTTCGTTCATGGAGAGAATTACCATTACGTATGGCTGATTTTGGTGTTTTACATCGTAATGAAGCTTCAGGAGCTTTAACTGGTCTTACACGTGTACGACGATTTCAACAAGATGATGCCCATATATTTTGTACTCAATCACAGGTAAGAAATGTTTTTTTTTATAAATAATTTTCTTTTGAAAAATATCTTTATCAATGTTTAGATAAAAGATGAAATTGAAAGTTGTTTAGATTTCTTAAAGCATGTTTATGGTATATTTGGTTTTACATTTGAATTAAAATTATCAACAAGACCTGATAAATTTTTGGGTGAAGTTGAAACATGGAATCGTGCTGAAGGTCAACTTGAATTAGCACTTAAGTCATTTGGTGCTCCATGGAGTCTTAATCCAGGTGATGGTGCGTTTTATGGACCCAAAATTGATATTACAATTCGAGATGCTTTGAAACGTGCTTATCAATGTGCAACAATTCAACTTGATTTTCAATTACCATTACGTTTTCAACTTCAATATCAAACGTAAAGAAACAAAAAATGACAAAAAATATATAAATTTCTTCTATTTAGAGAGGAACAAGGTACACTTAACACACCAGTTATTATTCATCGAGCTATGCTAGGTTCAATTGAACGTATGATCGCTATTCTCACAGAATCATTTGGTGGAAAATGGTATGTATTCAATAGAAAAATTAAAATTCACTCAGAACAATAGTGCCAAACAGATTCTCTTCTTTGACTATCTAATTTACATATACAAATTCTATAATGAATCCTTATTGGCCATTTCATTGTTAAAAAAGAAGATTTATTTTTATATAGGCCTTTCTGGTTATCACCACGTCAAATGGCGATTGTACCTGTTGGTCCATCATTAGATACTTATGCTCAAGACCTTCAAAAGAAATTTTGGGCTGCTGGTTTTCAAGTTGAATGTGATTTAGATCATGGTACAACATTAAATAAAAAAATTCGAAATAATCAACTTGCTCAATATAATTTTATTGGCGGTAATATATCATTTTAAAATAACTCGATCATAATATTATAGAATTGTTTTATTCTAGTTGTTGGTGAAAAAGAAGGAACAAATGGTACAATTAATATTCGTACACGTGACAATAAACAACATGGTGAATTTTCAATCGATGACGTTATTAAACGTTTTAAAGAACTAGCTGAAACACGTACAAATCATGCTGAGGATGAATTTGCTGGTTCCGCAGTAGATAGTAATGTTGCAGGAGCAACATCAAAATTAGAAACTGCAAAACTTTCTGAAGGTCACGATGAACCGCAACAATAAATACAAGAACTTTTTTTCTTTTATTTTAATTTGAATGAAGATCTAACTCCGTTTTGGGTTTTGTGTTTTGTTTTCTTTTTCTTTACTTTTCCGTCATTCATACTAAACATTCAATAAACGGGTCATTGATATATTTATTTGTCTTATTCTTTTATTTAATTTGAATAATTAAACCTTTTGTTTATTGTCAAGACGATGTTGAGGTAGCGTTGTTGTTGTTAAACGTTTTCGTTGTACTCTAGTAGATTTTCGTGGCTTATTAAGTTTTACACCTGTTTTACCTTTATGAAAACTACCAGGTTTAACATGAAGCGCTGCTTGAGAATTTTTCTTTTTGTGTAGACGGTGTTCATTATTTAAACTATGTTGTTCGTGTTCGTTATGATCTTTCATAGTTCCATTAGATTTCTTTGAATGAGATGGTAGAGGTGGTGATACGGAACGTCTTTTTGTGATTTTAATAGCATCAATTGGATTATCGTGAGCATGGTGATGATCATGATTATGAATAGAACGATTATTGGAAGAATTTTTATTTGAAATAGCATTATTGATTGCGAAATCAAATCCGAAATAAATAGTTACAACTGTAATAACGAAGAAAATCGAAGCGAGAATTTGTGTTATACGTTTCATTGTGACATATCTCACCATTAGAATAAAATAGAAGACATATAAATTATTAATGATAATAAATCGTTTTGATCAATAATAAATAATTTCATTTTGATCACTAAAAAGAAATTAAAAAATGATTTTAACTATTTTGTCAGAAGAATAGACTTTTTGAATAAGCGATAGAAAAAAATGTGGATTTATTTCATATAGAAATGAAGGTATGAAGACATGTTTAACCGAAGAGAAAAAATGAAAGAAACAAAAAAACATAAAATTGCATATATTTATGTGGAGCTGATTAATATTTACTTTGAAAGAACGACCAAAATATAATCATTAATAATACACCTCCGTTATAAAAAAAATATGATAAAATAAATAAGCTCTATGGTGTATGATTTCTACTATTTATATATCAATGTAAAAATGGCTCACGCATCTTTCTTCTTATTCTTCTCTATTTAAATCAAACGTCACAAAAAAATGTTACCATTACCTTCTCGTATTTCTTTACTCGTTCTTTTTTTTTATTCGTTTCATCTCTCTCCAACACTATTGCACATTACGCAATCGGTCATAGTTGTTTTCTATTCTGAAGATACACTTATATGTATGCATTATTTACTCTCACTGTCGTTTTATTTTACCACTAATTCAGTTTAGAGGTTAGTATATATAAATCTCTCGAATTACAAACTGTATGTACATATAAATTTTCTATTTTTATTCAAAGGACAACAGAAGTAAATAAAAACTTAGAAGTAAAGGTGAATCATAGTAACATTCGTTTATACGGTTGTTGTTGTTGTTGTTGTTATTCTATTAAAATCAAACTAATATAAATATCAACTAATGTAAAGAATAAAAATGCCATTAGGATTCGGAACAATGCACATAGACTACTTTTTTTTCTCATAAGTTTACGATATATAATTTAGAAAAATATTTCATGTAATACTATAGATGAATATATACTAGAACGAAAGAGAAAACCTTCAAAATATATTATATAATATTCATACACTCTACTATCGATTTGTCTGTATAGATAAATGTAATATCTCTATCGAAATAAATTTATTTATCCTACATTCTAATAATAAGACATGAAAACTTACAAGTATTAACAGTTTTAAAAGTCAAATTCAGAAGCAAACGTAATGCTAATTGGGGGATAGATAGCTTCTAGAATAATTGTTTTGCTAACTTTGTGTTTTTCTTTATTCAAGATATGTTTTGGCAAAAATTAGTGATTGTATTGCTAATATTTTTTTCTATTCTTCTTTATCGTACGTATGTGGTATTTAAACCCGATAAAGATATATTTAAACCATGTTCATCATCAATTGATAATCATTCTTTAAATTTTGATCATCAACGTCTTAAAACTTTTCAAACATTACTTCAATTTCAAACAATATCCTACGATGAACATAACCAAAATTTCGATGAAATAAAAAAATGTCGAGATTTTATTCGAAAACATTATCATGGTTTAACAAAAGAATATTCCAAATTTGTTCAAGTACATAGTATTGCTGAATATTCATTATTATATTCTATTCAAGGAAAGAATTCAAAATTAAAACCATTTCTTTTATCTGCTCACATGGATGTTGTACCAGCTGGAAATTTAGAACATTGGAAATATCCACCATTTGATGGTTATTCAGATGAAGAATTTGTTTATGCACGTGGTACACTGGATGACAAGTAAATGAAAAGTGAATAGGTTTTAAATTATAAATTATTATAAATAACTTTAGAGGAAATCTTTTTACTATGATGGAAGCTGTTAAGGTATGATAGTTGTTTGATGTTGTAGAAAAAAAACGGTAGCTAATAAAAGGGATATGGATGATAAATTAAATGCTCTGCTCAGCTCAACTTAAATATCCTATTGAAACTTCTTTTATATTAAATTTCATGTCTTTGTATGTATAGGAATATTTAAATGTTTATGGTCAACCATCTCGAACATTTTATGTAGCTTTAACACATAATGAAGAAGTAAGTTTATCAGGTGCTGCTGGTATTGCTCATTATCTTTCTAAACAACCGTTTGGACATAATGGTCAATTTGAATTTATACTGGATGAAGGAACTATTATTCTAGAAGATGCATTTCCAACTCTTAAAAATCCTCTTGCAATGATTGGAGTTGCTGAAAAAGGTTGCGTAACTATTGAATATCGTATTGATATTGCTCCAGGTCATTCAAGTATGCCATCAGCACCAACGGCAATTGGTATATTAGCTCGTGGTGTTGATAAACTTGAAAGTACACCGCAACCATCACAATTTGGTCGTGGACCTGAAATGGGTGTTTTCCTTGGTGTAACACCTTATTTATCGTTTCCATTACGATTAGCTATGAGTAATATGTGGTTATTTAGTCCTGTTATTCAATGGGTTCTATCTCGTAAACCAGCAACAGATGCTATGCAACGTACAACAACAGCAGTAACACATATTTCTGGTGGAGAAAAAGATAATATTTTACCAACATCAGCTTCAGCGACTGTTAATCGTAAGAAAATAATCACAAGAAAAAAATAAATATTTCTTAATTCTTTCTTTATTCTATTTAGATCGTTTACATCCAGCTGATTCATGTCAAAAAATTCTTAAATTTAATCGCCAAATAATAAATGATGATCGTCTTGTAGCTCATGTCAAGCAATGTGATGAACCCTCACCAATATCACCACATGGAAAAAATATTTATCCATATCGTATTCTTGAACAAACTATACGTCAAACATTTATACAAGATAGTGAGCCAATTATTGTTGTACCTGCTCTAATGTTAGGTGGTACAGATAGTAAATCATATACAAATTTAACAAAAAATATATATCGATTTTCTCCATTTATCTATCGTCATGAGGATTTAAGTCGTCTTCATGGTGATAATGAACGTATAAAACATACTGATATGCAACGTGGATTAAATTTTTATTTTCATCTTATTCTTAACAATCAACTTGAACACATACCTGATACAACTTTAAGATCAGAAATTTAAATTGAACTTTTTTGTTAAACATTTTTTTTCATTTGATTTTCTTTTAATTTCCATACTAAAGATAGAATCATTTCTTTTTCTTTCTTTGATTCATGATGGATTATTGATAGTGAGGAGTATTGGTTGTGATCAAACATTATATAGAAATGGTAAGGATGATAAGCACAACAACCAAAACCCATAAACTGATCAATTGATTTGTTCACTATTCAATCATTTACAAGCATTATTATCAAATGTTACTGGTTATAGTAATTTTTTTTTCGATTAACCTTAATTCGATCGAGGGGCTTTTTTATGAGTATGAGAAGAAGGTGATTACAAGAATAGAGATTAGTTTATTTTTTTTTTCTTGAGATATACGTAATGCTCCTTGGAAGAGACATTCAGCCTTAATGGCATGAATTTATTAGTAGTTTTTTAAACAGAGACGAATTCTATTTATTTTGCACTTATCGCATCTCAAGGGTGGATGAAGAATAATAAAAACGATACTCACACCCACATCCGCACTGATATGTAACGTAAATTAAATTTTTCTATGTTTACCTGTTTTTTTCATTTGATTATCTTTCCTGATTATTGATTGATAAATACTTTGTTACATTGTATATATGCATAAAAATCGATACACACTTTTCTTTATCTTATTTAATTCAAACATTATATATGGATGACCTTTCTTCGTGATTTTGTATTTACTTTTATGTTCAATTACTTCCAGCACATAGACACTCTTAAAATATTCAATCATATTTTTACTACTTTTCATATTATGTTTGTTCGATTCCTTTATATATATATACTTACCTACACACTTCTGTATGTCATTTTATGCACGCGTCATCTTACTACCTCAATGGTCAATATTACTATGACAATCGCCAACTAGTCATTTACTTTTTTCTTTGGTGTGTTGCAATTTTTTCTCATACGTATTGCCCTCTATTACATAGAAACGAAATTGAATAGCATCTTGTGGGCTGATACTCATGCATTTGATAGTATTCATTCATACGTTCATATATGGGCACTATGCAAACAGACAGACACCTCAACACATTCTTATCGATGAACACGAGCCGAACGTTGATCCCGATATCATTTCATTCATTACCGACAAAGATTAATTTTTTCTTATTGTTCTTTTTGGATAAAGTCGACAGGTCATGAATAATCCGCTCAACTCTTAGTTAAACATTATTACATCGAAAAAGTATTTACATCGGTAAGTTTAGATTATACTACGGATCTAAACGATCAAATCTTACTATTTTATTCTCTTTCCTCTTTCTATTAAAGCTTATTCTATGGTTTATTCGAATAGAAATACAAGGACTTCTTCATCGACATATATAAAAAATCATCTAATATAACATATTGAAATAAAATCATTCTCCCTTCTTTTTGTTCTTATTCAGCATTCTACCAGCTAAACAATTTACGTAAGAATATGGCAGAGAGACTAGACACGTCATTACATCAATATTATGATACGTTTGACAACTTGATTGTATCGATCAAATGATTCCTTGTAATCAAGGCTATATTTCTTTCTGTTAAAGATACTAATTCAATCATTAGTCATTACTCAAGGATAAATGAGAAATCTATACAAAAAAGATAGCAACCTTTGACTGTGATTATGTAAGAACAGTGTCCTTTTCTTTTCTGACTTCGTTGTCGCGTGACATGATAACGATGATAATGATGATATGTTTATTTCGTATCTTCTTCATTTGACCACTTTTTCTTTTTTTTTCTTCTTTCTTTCTTTCTTCGTTTCTTTTCGTTTTTAATTTGCACTAGTAAAAGGAGAGAAAACATAAAACGGCATGCAATGATTTCACTTATTTGTCTGCCTAACAGATCGATACGTTTTCATTTTTCTGCCTTTCACTATTAATAGTATATGATGTATTTACTTATGACGTATACGTCATACATTTCTAGTTTATTTATATATGATTGTATATCGTATTTATCTTCCATAGATATAATATATATATATTTTTACAAGAAAAAAAACAACAGCAACATCATGTTCGGTATTATAGAAGACAAGGTATAAGATAGCTTATTGTATTGCTCATGGCTATTGCTTTTTCTTTTGCTGCAAATTTTTCAAGTAGCTATTTCATAAAAAACAACAATGAATAAAAAAAAAGAGGTAGTGAGTGAGTGAGTGAGTGAATGACTACTCATGCAAATATAAAGAGAATGCTATATGTTACATTATATAGTATTCATCATACAAACAATTGTTCCTATTGACATAAAAGATTTTCAATGGCAAGCCACTAAATAAGGAGAAATACAAAGAAAGCTGTTCGTTTTACTTTTTTAGTAGCTTTTTCGTTTTTATTTATTTATATATATATATATAAATGTATTTTATAAAATTCTTCATTTTAAATATTTGAAAAGATTTAAGTATGTATATATAGTGTACGAAAATTGGACTGTTAATGAATCGAACAGTTCGAGTAAGATATACTGTTGATCAGTTGTGTTGAATGAAAAATGATACACACTTTCTTTCTCTCACCTCATTCGGTATTATTTACAAAGGACATATATAATATATTCTATTGGAAAATGTAGATATATTATGACATTATCATTAAATGATACAATAACAAACTTGAAAGTAATAAATGAGACGAATGCTTTTGTTCATATTTACTTACAAAAATAAAACAAAGATAATTATTCAGATCAAAGATAGAAAAATAGTACATTATTGTAACATATTTGTCTCGTTAAAAATGATTGATTTATTGAAAAAGAAATTATTTGATCTTTTACAATAAGATAATAAATTTTAATCGTATAAAAATATTCGAACGAACGTCTTTGGTGTATCATCTGTATGTATTAGGAATATATATACATACGTGTATGAGAAAATGAAATGAAATCGATCAGAACATAAAGATTATCAATGCATTTTATTTTTACTATACATCGTCCAACAAATATGTGTCTGTGTGCCTTCTTAATGAACATACAATAATGAAGCCAAAGATTTTAGTTAGAAACAAAACATATAGTTCATTGGTAACGCTTATTATACACGTAAAATCCATTGTATTCCAGTGTAAATTAGTATAGCGGCTGTTACTAGTATTCTTTGTTGGTTTTTATTCCTTTTTTTTCTCTCTCTCTCTTCGTTTACTATGTTATAGTTCGACGATGGGAACTTGCACATCAACTGCAAGACATCGACAGAAGTTGCAACAGCATCAACGGCCTGATCGACCATTATCAAAAGGCTCAATTGTACTTGATATTGATTCACCTCCACCATTACCACCACTACCATTAACTGCATTTCCTAATCAACAACTTCAACATCCTCAATCTTTATTTATAGACTGTGACCTTTTATCATCGGCATTAATAAAACCTATCTTTCATCAAACAGATACGAACAGTTTGATACAATTATACTCTTCTTATACGAACATAAATAATAACAACAACAACAACAACAACAACTACAACAACTACAATAACTATAATAACAACAATAATAATAATAATAATAACAATAATAACAACTCGAATATTAACAATAGAATGTCTTCATCATCTATAACATATGTTCCACCTCGAATCCCGGTACCAAAAACTCGACTACCTGTTTATCATCCACCACAATCACAACAAGTAACAGCAACAGCAACAGTAACTCTCAGGCCAAAAGATGTGATATCAGTTGTTACTCCCAATAATCCTACAAGTAATATGAAGATTACAAATTATTCTTTTGTATATTTTCATAAAGCAATTATATCTTTCTTTCAAGTATATATATATATGTATACGTATATATTATTAATACACTACAGCCGTCTTGTTAGGATTACAAAGACAAATCGATGTGATGTCTCATATTTCTTATATACTACTCTATTTCTTTTTCTTTCCTTTATTTTCTTCTTTTCTCTTGAAGTGTTGATCTGTTCATACTCTTGAATAGTAACTGTATGGCAGTTAGACATGACTATAAACGATAGCATGCTTGTTTTTTTCGCTCCAATGTATATATGTATGTATAGTTCTCTACATAGAACAGTTGTACACCTATGCCATTTATATTCGAACAGGGGTCATTCTTTTCTTTTGTCTACTTAAGGAAAGGAGAAAAAGAGTCAATGTCTATTGTGTAGTATGTTGTGCGACCCCATAGGATGCTTATGTATGAATCATCGAGGGAAAAAAATTAATTCTATTTTTCAACGACGACCACGATCACTTTTTTTTCTATGCTGTTTTTTTTTCTACGTTATTCGCTTATTCTTTTTCTCTTACTATTCTGATTCCTCATCGAACAAAGGTGACAAAAAAAAAGAATCTATCGACAAAATAAAAATAACAAATTCGAAAGCGAACGAATAGAAATGTTAATGTTGATCGAATCAACACATTTTTGTCTATTGATTTTTTCAGCCAGTTCTCGTGACTATTGTTTTTATAATTATTTTTTTTTTGCTGTAAACTTTAGGTTCCATAAGACCACCAATGTCGATTACAAATCGTGCACCACCACCGACTACAATGCAAACTCGTTTTGGTTTTATACCACGACCAACAATACCAACAGTACAACAAGTTCCACCATCGACATACGTATCACGTAGTCGTTCAATTAGTCCAACATCAACTACCAGTGCAAATTCTTCATCATCATCCTTACATAATTCTCAACGTTTAGCAAAAACTCAAACAACGATAAAAACAACACCAAATCGTTCGATCCCATCTTCTTCAACAATAAATGATACTTCGAAATCTAAAATATTAATATCTCCTCGTCCTCGAGATACATCAGTATCAAAATCAAATATTAAAACAAATTTTCAAGCTCCAACAGCAACTAGTCTAATGCGGTCAAGAACACCATCACGAACTTCAACTGCATCTCCAACATCATCTGTTGCTTCTTCACTTCCTTCTTCTTCAGCTCCATCATCATCATTATCACATCCAACAACGGTGACATCAACATCATCAACAGCAACAAAAAGTGATGTCAGTGCTATACGTGATCGTTATAGAACACAACAACGTATGAATTTCTTTACACGTCGTACACCAATATCAACAGCGAATGGCTCACCTGTAGCTAGTTCGATTAAATCATCTGAACCATTAATTGCTAGTAGAGAAAAAAAACAAGCGTTATCGAAACCTTCATCTACAAATAATGCAGTAAGAGCAAAAATAGAAAATTTTTTTTATCTCAAAAATCAATCTTTATTTTCTATAGAATAATAATTCAAAATCAATAACACCTCCACAAATAATTTCACCTCCAGCTGATTTAGTCTACGCACAAGTATCATCGCCTTCCAATCATCCACCATCTGCACATCTTTCTCAGAGTAATAAACATCGGCAACGAGCCACAAGCATGCTATCTTCTTCATCAACTATATCGAATGTACTCAATCAAGATGCATTACTTGAAGATGATAATTGTAGTCTGAAATCAGATGATTTAATGTGTGATTATGATGATACACTCACCATTGATTCTCTTAGTAAAAAGTAAGATATCAGTTTTTCTCCATAATTATTTTTATATTTGCATTTTAATTCATCTATACAGTGAGACATGTTAAGCTTATTTATTTTTTACATATACTTTACAATGTTATATGAAACCTTTACCTACCTTTTTTTTTCTTCTCTCATATTAATCTTATCTATTAAGACTCATGATAAACGTTTCTATTTTGTTTTTTGATTGACAAATTATTTAATAATCTAAATTAATTATTTTTTTATTGAAGTGATCGAACAGATTCATGTTCATCAACATCAATAACAACAGAATCAAATAAAAAAAGTCAACCACCGACGACCATACCTACTACTTCAATAAAATCAAATAATCTTCATCATCAATCTACATCAAAAGAACAACGATCATCGAATGTAACTAAATGTTCAACAGCAACGACGAATGATAAAACAAATGGTAATTTACGTGAATCACTTGATGAATTAAATCGATTAAGTAATCGAATGGAGAATGGTATTGATAGTGAACACAATCGGTAAGACAATAAAATAATCATTTGTGTATTTACTTATAATAAATGAATATTTAAGAAGATTACCGTCACGTCCAGTGTCATTAAAACCACCATTAAATTATTTACCACCACTTGAAGATGCTGAACAAATAACAATGGATGTTGAATCATATCGACAAGTTATGAAAGATGTTATGGTTGTTAAAACAGTTCTACATCAACTTGATCGATTACTTAAACATTCCGATGGTGCTAATATGACAGTTAGTTTTCATTTAAATAAAAATTTTCAACAGAAACAAAGAATTTTCTTATTTTATAGGATTCAATGATTGGTTCATTTCATGAATTTCATGATTCTGTAATTAATGCAAGACGTTATTCAACGTGTACTATTGATGGAAATCTACGTAATTCAATCGATGAAAATTCATCTTATGATGATTTACTCAAAGTATGATAATATCCTTTTTATTCTATTTATTTAAAAAATAATATTATTTAAGGAAATTATATCATTACGTAAAGAAAAAGAACAAGATAAACAAACAATTAAATTATTACAAGAACAAATGGTTGGTTTGTTTATTTTTTTTTCTTAATATTTATTAAATTAATTATTTTATTTTTATAGTATAAATATTCCAGTCAAACAAATACTTGATAACAAATATTTCTTTATTACATTTCGAAATCTTTTTGCTCTCCTTTTCATATTCATTCATGTAACTCTCTTTGTGAATTTGGCTGTTATCATTTATTTTTTATTTTTTAATGATGATTGATTTACTACTGGGGATTGTTCATTACTTTCTTTTCTTTCTAAAGTAAATTTTTATCTGATTTTATTTCTTTTTTTT